GTGACCAATTTAAAAAAAAACTGAAAAGGCCCAGTACCTTATCTTATAGATATATGTCCTTTGATGGAAATTAAACCTTTACCTGTAGTTTTGTATCTTTCTTCATTGTTGGATCAAGTTGTATTTGTAATCAAACCACATATCTCAATTATTTTATACAGTTGTCTTTCTGAATGAAAATACCTCACATGTAGTTAAATTATTTTTGACAATTTAATCAGATTTTGGATGACTGCTCAATGGCAAAATTTTGTTTTACACACTTTATTGAATTTAAATGAATTGAATTTGGAACCAGTTTGTTAAGCTCACTTGGACCATAGCCTGGGGTGGTACACAATAACAAAATGCATGTCATTATGCCTCAAATAGGAACATCTTTTGAAAAGTGCTCATTTTAAGATCTACTTGTGCAGAAGTCAGGGGTGTCCATTTTTACCTGGACATAGCATTTAAGATCAAGAACACAGAAGGTCACTGCATTCCATATGGGATTAGGATAAAAAGGATTACTTTGGATTTTAAAAAGCTATATGAATTTCCATACTGCACCCAAGTTTTTACTCTTAAATCAAATCTAGGATTGATCTAAATTGCTTAGATGGACATTTTTGTTGTGTTTAGGGTGCCATGTATGGTGAAGACCTGTGCAATTAACAGATAAAGGTGTAATTTTCGATGTGACAGCTATTAAATTTCATGTTTATTTAACTGCATGACTCATAATTTGGAATTTCTACCTGATAGCCTTGCTAATTTCCATTTTATACTAGAAAGTCTTTATACTGTGCTAATAAGAAAAGGAAAAGTCAGGCATACTGAATTAATTATTGATAAAAACATAAAAGTCTTACACAGGTGGATGATTACCTGTATGTAGTCTTCCAATATTGAATGCAAAGATTTATTGAATCTGTGCACTTTTCAACAATTAAATTTGGATTTAAACTTGGAGAAACTTGTCAATTTCCGTTTTAAAGCTCGCAGTTTACATATATTTTTGAAACATTATTCATTAATTTTGTCAACAATGTCTTGTCACATGTGTTTACCTGGATTTTTACCTGTTTATGTGTGTACAACAATGGAGTGTGAATGGTGAAACAAAAATGTGTGTCAATCCTGTATTGTGATTTTTATAATTAATAATATACAATATAATAATTCAAACAGCCTATATATGGAACTTATTACTGGAAAATTCAACTCTTAGGGAATTTATACCTGTAGAAATAATGTGGAATGTTTATGGATAAAAATATCAATAATTGTGTGTGATTGAGGCAGATCAATATTGATTGAAGAGAATTATGAATGGAATTTATGGAATTTTACTACTACAACTTAGTATAGTACATGTTGTAATAGTACATGTAAGGTGTCAGACTACAGGTAATATATTCATCTGTAAAAGATACATATGAATCTAAAAACTGAACTAAGAAATGCTGAATTTCAGAGGCGGATCCCGGGGGGCCCCGGGCCCCCCCCTTTTGTTGGAAAAATTCGGTTGATTATATAGGGAATCACTGAAGCATGACTGTAGTGGCCCCCTCTTATGGCAGTCAGTGGGCCCCCCTTATAAAAAGTTCTGGATCCGCCACTGAATTTGTTAGAACAAGTTGACCTAAACCCAAGGATTTTTAGAGTATACAAATCCTTGCCTAAGCCCCTGGAGTTTGAGGTAGGAGTTAAAATCAGGACGTACATGGACTGAAAGTGGTAAAATCTCTCATGAGGTACGAAAATGGTCTGGGTATGAAATCGTTTTTGTAAGGATATGAAATGAAGGATACAAAATAGTAAGGGTAAGAAATGACTATAATTCCCTAAAAGTAGTTTCAGTATAAATACTTTTACTCAGTTTACAAACTACTGTGACACGATTAACTGGTTGGGTATTATAAATCTAACAAATAAGATATAAGATCACCAAATGTGTATTCCTCAAATGAAGAATATTTTTAGAGTGTAAGACATTCAAATAAACACCAGTCTCTTTCTTGAAAATGGGACACATTGATAAATATGGACCAATTTTTTCAAAGAAGCATGGTTTTATTAAAAAGTTTTCAAATAATATGTTGCCCTGAAAAATGTTAATTTGTTTAGAAAGGCTTCTATGACTATACAACTAAGTATGTCAGTTTAAAATTTATCATCTTTTGGAAAAATCCCTTCTTAGAAAAATAATGAAATATTTATTCGTTAAGGGAACCATTCACTATTTTGTGAGTTGTTTGAAAATATCCTATATGTGAGGACAGTGTCCTTTCCTTTTTTTTTTTTTTTAAATGATTTTTTTGACATGGTTTATGTTGAATTCCCTGAAAATCATTCACTAATTCTGAGGCATCAAAATATACAGGTATAGTTCTTTGACTGAAAATATAATGTTCCTTTTGAACATGGACCAAATGAACATGTAGTTATATACTGAACAAATGCAAATTTTGATAAAGAGATTTAATTAAAAAATTAGTTTCTATCAGGGATACATTTGTGTAGTTATATGACCGATACTTTCTGAGGCTGCATGTGCACAACTTGTAGAGCTCTCAATTAAATTTCACTAGCTGATATTCCTAAATGTTTTTGCACCTGATGTGATCACCTTTTTCACCTTTAGATATACAACCCATTATACAGCTAACTTATTGCAATAGAAAATAGTGACAAGAATGAAATGGACAATCCATCATGCAGACATGTGGAATTGTACGTTATATACATGTACATGTACATATATAAAATAATTTTAAACATGTCTGTCTGCTTAGTAAGGATTAACATACATGTACATGTAAATTGTACGTGATAAAACTGTCCTTTTCAACTCGTTATTAGTAATTGTTTGATTACTCAGGTTCGTGTAGGATTGTGGTCAAAATTAATGAAATCTGTGGTATGCCATTATATTGCAGTAGTTGCATGATTACATACAACTGTAGCATAAATTGTGCAAGATCACTGTCATCTTGAAATAGGTCTGTTTTGTCTGGAACTGAAACATTATTATATATTGGTCTTTCAGGTTTTGTTAAATATCTTATATAAAACTTTCACCATGCCAGAAAGACCAATGTCAACTTAAAATTCCTGGTGTGTTCTTAAAACAGATGATTTAATTGGATTATTTACTTAAAGCAACGGAATATCTTAAAATATTGAAAATGTTATGCCATTATTACAATTTCCTTAAATAAAATTGACTATCAAAACCAAGGCTTATATCAACCTTGTGTTTGAGAGCAGGCAATTATTTCAAACATTATTGCGACAGATTTGTTTTTTAATTCCTTTTGTACACTCAATGAATAACATTGCTTTGAATTATATGAAGATATATTGGTAGCTGTTTTTATGTGTATTACCAGTATGAATGATTAATTGCCATTCTTAATGTTAGTTACAAAAGAATGTTTTATGTTTATTTTTAAGGAAGAATTATAAGACTTGATTTAGTAGTCAAGTTCTATTACTGTTTATCAGTGCTTTGACAAAATATTTATCACAATTATGCTGTTCATGTTGTCCGAAATGGTGTCATTAAATCCATACAACATTCTGTATTGTGTTATAGCCCATTCAACATGACCAAACGAGGAACACATACATGTACATGTAAAATTTTGATCAAGAATTCATTGGTTCCATCATAGGAGACAACTAGCACATGTTGCTGAGTGAAGTCAGGAACCTTGCAAGTGTACATGTACATGTTTTGTCTTTTAAGCTACATTTGAAAAGCATTTCGGTCTTAAGGAAATTTTTTGTTGATGACATATCTTGAAAGCCATTTTTGAATTGTACACAATGTTTTAGGATCTGATGAGTCAAACCATTTCCAACTGATTTTACAGTTTGTTCTTATGCTGTGTTGTTACACCACTGTCTCAGAAAAATGGGGATGGCTAAGTGCTCATAAACATGTTACATCGTAAAGCCCACAACATTCTTTATGTGACTCTCTCAAACCATGAATCTGTAGTCCACAACATTCTTTATGTGACTGTCTCAAACCATGAATCTGTAGCCCACCACATTCTTTATGTGACTGTCTCAAACCATGAATCTGTAGCCCACCACATTCTTTATGTGACTGTCTCAAACCATGAATCTGTAATCCAGTGGTTTTTCGTTGCTTACTGTCTGCCATATTTGTTTTTCCTTCAATGTTGTTAATGTAAATCAGGCTATGGTTTTTCTCTTTAGAAATTATTCACATTTTGTTATTTTTTAACAATACAATATGGGTTAAGCTCATTGTTGAAAGTGATTGGTGACCTGTACATGGTTTGCATCTTTGTCGCTTAAACAGCTGTCTTAATGGCAATCATACATGTACCGTGCCATACCTCCTTATTAATTTAATTTTGGTGATATAGAGCTTGGCACATTATATGAACATTTAGTTGTCTATTGATGAAGTCAGTACAATTACCATTTGATGACTTTTGTCTTTTTATGTAGTGGGGTTGCTGTCTCATTGACTTGATAAAATTGAGAATGGAAATGGGGAATGTGTCAACCCGATCCCTACTTATCTTGTTATTCATACTGTCACTTTAAGGTCAGATGCAATCAACTTCTCAATGTTTGTAATTGCTGATGTACTTTTGTTTTTGGTTTTTGGTTGTCATGGTTATAAATATAAACTTACCATCTGAAATGGGAAGACTATATATTATAGATTCGATCATTGCATCAAGTGAAATATGATTTTTTTTTTGCAAATTCAGATGTGTCTTTATTATGTTTTTTTTAATAAGAAATCTAGCTTAATTTGTACAAACAGTTGCCTTAGCAGAGTAGAGTCAAAAAAGAAATAAAATAAGTGTAAGAATGTATTATATACCTAACTACATGTACATGTTTGTTCACATTACAGTTGATATACATGTATATTACAATTAAAAAATGCTTGGATTGAGAACAAATGTTGTATAACTCAAGCCTTGTAGTAGCTAAATAAATGTGTTGTTTTCATTTGATTTCAGCTTCACAAGATATAAATGAGTGTTGGAGTAACCCCTGTCAAAATGGGGCTACCTGCAATGACCTTCCTAACTCTTTCAACTGTACCTGTCCACATTTGTTCAATGGAACCAACTGTGAAAATAACCTCAGTAAGTACATGTAGCTACATTTATGAACAGGTTTAAACCTTAACATTGTAGTTTAAATAACATAAAAAAGTAGTAAAATTCATACAAAACATTTATTTTCTACAGTTGCATATTATTACAAGTATGCAAACAGGTATATTATTATATTATCCATACATATGCATATTTATAAAGCCTTTTTTAAAGGGGCACTAGCTGTCAAATTCATGTTCACCGATTTGACTCAAATTCTCATACATGTATTAGATTTAAAACAATGTAAAACATTTATCCAAACTATTAAAAGTCTAAAATAAACAGTTAACAGGACATGGGCATGATAACACGTAGCTTGTTTTCGTGTGTATTTTAATCTAGACGCCATCTAATTAATTATAGAGTTGACCTCCAAAGTCATCCGATGACCATATAAGCGATGTAAACATAAATAAAGATATAAATAGATTAAGCGAACTCGTGCTATTGGATTTTTCTAGGTCTGTTTAATTTCATATTATAGATTAAAAATATATGTTTATCATCGTTTTTACCTGTATAAGAATGATTTTTTGTGGATCGGATCAGTCAATCAAATGATTTACCTTTGTTTCACTTTCAATGTTGACATTCTTTTCCTTTAAATAACTTTACACATACAATTCACGTGTTATCCATCTCTAGCTAAGGGGTTAAATTGAAGTTCGCATGAATACGGATTCAATGAGGTCGAATTATTCACTTGCAAGTGAATAATTCATCATCAATGTTTCTTAGCTTATTTTGACAAAATTGAACCATACTGGCGGTTAAAGCGAATTATTATTTCACTATTTCACTTTCATTAATGATTGAACAAAAAAAAATCATATATTAGATTTTTTATATATCTTGTAGCTAGTGCCCCTTTAAAGGTCCAGCTAACTTTATGACATTATTAGGAAGAGTATGCAAATGCTCCTCCTTGTTTCAAAGCCATTCCCACAGACACTGCATAGTAATTGATATACACTTATTTACTTGCTGATGAGGACAATAGCCAGAGACACTGATGGACATAATTGATGTTGAGGGAGATATCTAATATGCTAGCTGTTGTCCTAATAGCCTGTAAATAAGTGTTTTATTATACAGAAATAAACTGGTATATATATATATATATATATATATTTCAAGACAATGTATGGTTATTCTCTTAATACTGGGACTCTTATAACTGTTTTAAATGAAATATTTTGGGTAAACCATCCTTTTTAAATTTGAAGTGGACGATGTAAAATTTCAACAAACCCATAAATTTTTTTTTTACGTCATAAATAAAACACTACAGAAAAGCATTGGTTACGTTATAAACAAGGCGATATACAATCAATGACTATATTACAAATGAATATACAGTCAATGCAGGTTGACTGTGTAAATACATGTAGCAATGTAGCACAGTTGCAGTATAAACAATCATTTGGAAGTCTTGGTGGACGAGTGACTCAGTCATTCCAAACAGTATAGAAAGCATGGGAAAACATTTGATATATAAAGTTTGATTATCCAAGACAGTTTTGTATCAACTGTGAGGGCTATAGACAGAATATTTCTGACTAACTTCCTGGGAATTCTAGAAGGAAGAGTATAACATAGTACTAACGAAACTTTAAGTTCTGCAATAAAACCTTAGGAGTTTAAAAATCAAATAATTGCATGTGAACTATAATTGTCCTATAGCTATGTTTAATCATGCTTTGTAATATTCAGAAATTTATCAATTATTATTGATTTGGAACTTTTAAAGTTTGACTATTGTCAGAGTTGCAATAAAAAATTGCAATAAAAACAGACAAAGTTCAAAGTTTGAATTATGGTTTAAAAATTACAGTATAGTATCTAATCAGATTTAAGAATAAATTTATAATCTGATGTCATAAAGACAGTTGAGTCTATTTTTATAGCAATTAGCTAATCTTTAATGATAAATTCTTACTGTGAGGGATTATATATTGAATTGATTCAGCCAATGGACAATTAAAAAGTAAAATAACAAAAATACCGAACTCAAAGGAAAATTCAAAACAGAAAGTCCCTTATCAAATAGCAAAATCAAAAGCTCAAACACATTAAACAAATGGAAAACAACTGTCATATTCCTGACTTGGTACAGACATTTCCTTATATTAAGGATTTTTATTTGGTGAAAACCAAATGTGGCCACTACTACAATAATGATAGTATACATTAGACCCAAAGGGAAAACGCAGCATGAAATCTTCATCTTTTAAACAACTGAGTTTGTTAACCCACCTACGATAGTAGTAGGGGCATTATGTTTTCTGGTCTGTGCATCCGTATGTCCCGCTTCAGGTTAAAGTTTTTGGTCAAGGTAGTTTTTGATGAAGTTGAAGTTCAATCAACTTGAAACTTAGTACACATGTTCCCTATGATATGATCTTTCTAATTATAATGCCAAATTAGAGTTTTGACCCCAATTTCACGGTCCACTGAACATAGAAAATGATAGTGCGAGTGGGGCATCCGTGTACTATGGACACATTCTTGTTTAACCTACTTTTGACTGTTGATGGAGATTCATTGTACATCTGCTATGTAAAATTTACAGATTGGTTGAATAACTAATTTGACTTCCAATTTTTTGCAATTATGTTTCCATGTCTTTGTTGCCCAAATTTGTTGATATTTAGTTTGTTTTATTACTTCTGTGTTTCAGGTATTTATGGCTGTTCAGTATCACCCTGTTTAAATGAAGGAACTTGCCTCAACCAAAGCGATGACAGCAGAATTTATAAATGTATATGTAGAGAAGGTAAGATCAGACATGTGGAGGTAAAGATATCATATTTGACTTAAAAAGCTTAGCTTGAGTTCTTAAAGTCCTACATTTCTGGCTAGAGCACAGGGATTAATGTTTAGCTTTATGTGAGGGGGTGGAAAAGGGTTTCCCTGATTTCCACTTCCCTCCTCCTTGCTCCCAGATGAAAATTCAATCAAAAAAAAATTTCTCAGTGTGTCCTTTTATACGCCCGTTTACGTGATGTATTATGGTACACCAGTTGTCCGTCCATCTGTCTGTCTGTCCGTCCGTCGTCAACATGTCAGACAATAACTCAAAAACACATAATTCAATTTGCATGAAACTTTGGTGAGTTGTTTATATCTATTGATGTGAGCTCCCTTTCGATTTTTATGAATTTTCGATTTTACGTTTCAGAGTTATGTTTTTTTTTTCATTAAAAAAGGGGGATTTTCCAGTTTTCGGACAATAACTCAAAAATACTTCTACCAATTTGCAAGAAACTTTGGTGAATTGTTTATATCTATTGATGTGAGCTCCCTTTCGATTTTTATGAATTTTCGATTTTAGGTTTCTGAGTACTATGATCTACATTTCACATCTTGAGTGATATTGGTCAAATCTAAGTCAGATGGGCGTGTTTAACGAGAGTCTACACAGCAACCTATTTCCACAAAGTCACTGATTAAATTTGAAGATGAGATATATTTTTTGTAAAACTTTTTTTGAAATAAATTATTCTGCAGTAAAATCCCCTCTGCTGTATGGCATGTTTTAAGTCACCATGACCAACATTTCACACAATTTGAATTTGGTGATGTTTTTCATGTGTAAATTTTCAACCTAATATTGAGGATAATGGATATTAGAACCATGGACTTCTGAAAAAAAAGAACATTCACAGATTCTTAAGTGAAACAGATAAAGTAATGCAAAAATATAACATTTAATATTGAAGCAATTCCAGTCAGTTTCTATTGGTTTTCAGGATAAATTAAGTGTGTGTGGGCTTTTGAAATGGGCAATATATCTTTTAGGGCATTTTACAAAATCAGTAATTTCTATATTCCTGCAGATTAGTAGCATTTTGTGCAATTCTTCAGTGGATAAATCTTCTTTTTTTTTTAAATCCCCTTTTAGAAATATGTTCCAAACTTCCAAAGCGGCAAACGTTTTTACATGTATTAGGATAATTACGGTAAATGTATAAACTTTACATTTTAATTACCTACAATTCAGATTAAGTTTTCTGGTAATCTAGGTGTGTTACAATGTAAATGTCACTGTTAACGTCACTGTAATGACTGTCAGGTTATGAAACTCATTTTTCATAATTAACAAATTTATAAAAACAAATGTTTTGAAATAAAATATGAATGATATTGTGAGTGTTGAGTGGTCTGGATTAAAAACAATAGTTAATAGAAGGATTTTTTTTCACAGCCACAAAAATGTACGCCTATTCAAAATGGAAAATCCTAGTTCACAGATAATAAAAGGTGTTTACCTGTTAACTTAACATCTTTTATTAACCTGATTTCCAAAGGATAATATCGGTTCTTAATTTGGTGATGTATGGCGGGCGGGCAAGTGGCCACCAAACAATGCCTGTGCAATAACTTGAGAATGCTTTGACAAAATCTTTTCAAATTTAGATACCGGTATGTTGTTTCCTTTGACTAAAGAAAGGTCCATTTTCCAGATTTGCAAATATCTTCTTCATGCAGGAAAATCTGGTTTGCTGTCAACCTGACAGCCTCTTGTTATCTGTGAACTAGTGTTTGCCATTTCCCTGAACCCTCAGTTATGTAGTTCTAGACTTTATCCTATAGCAAAGATAGTGTGCATACATTTTAAATTTTCTTGTTTGGAAAGGGTTTCATTACCATTAGCTTAAAAAGATCCCATCAATGGCAATTGGAAATTGAATTTTAATCATAACCTTCGAAAACATGCACGTTTCTGGAAAAACATATTGATTCCTTTATAATAATTGCCTTAAGTCTTACTTGTCATTCTTCAAATCTTGTTTTAATGGAAACTTTCATTGGAAAAAATACAAGTTAAAACTTTTAAGACAGTCTTGGTGCTTTCAGTTTTGTAGACTGAATGTGATTAGAGCTTGCATTGATACCATGTACAATGTATAGACACCTGTCTATTGTTGACCTCTAGATGACATATTTTGGTTTTTCCTGTTGTTGGGTTGTTGTCTAATTATCAAATGTACAATGTATGACATCTCCTTTCATTAGTATAAGCCAATTTTTGCAACAAATCATTTAATACTGGGAACTAATAACATATGAAAGTAACATTGCTTCTATTGCTGTTTTTCATCTTGATATTTTCTAGAAGCATCTTCAGCAATGAATTAAAGCGCTCCAAATACATAGCAGCATCAAGACAAAGTACACCAGATATTGCTTTTAACTGGTGCCCGTTCACCTAATACTGCAATTATGTAAAATAGGATTCAGTACCACTCTATAACAATACATCATAGCAATTTATAGTACAGTAAACTGTATTTCTGTCATATAATTCTTCTGTAGCTGAGAGTCATCCATTGGATACCAGTAATACACAATATTGAATGTACAGGGGTACACAAGCAGTATTTTCTTTGATTTTTTTTTATGGATACAGCAACATACACATGTACATTATTCAAGATCAATCTATCAATCAATCAAAAGTTGCTTGCTTTACATCCAATGCCAAATATTTCATTTATAGTCAGGACGAAGTGGAAAGTCAATAGGACAACACAGATTAAACCTTTTATTTCATAAATTGAAACATGTTCATGCATCTACTCAATGGTAATCAAGAATAGTTATCTTTTGATATATTTAACCCTGATTGTTCTTGAACATTACTGGATCAGAGTTATATGTTGCCAGTCATGATCTTAACATGCTTAATGTCCTGTGTTAAGAACCTCTTATACTATGTGCCTTCAATATACCAAATGATACCAGGTGATTACCAATGCATAAGTATGCTATAAGGAGGTTAAACTCTGCTTGTATCAATCATCGTATGTTTGTTATCAAACCCTTAGGGAAATAATTCTATTGAAATATTTAATATTTGTCATATTTAGATAAGTAGATTAAATACTGTGACAGGTGACACAATCTTGATGAATGGTTCTAATTGATATTTTTTAAGTTATGAATCTTAGTTATGTTCATGCAGAAGATGAATTTTTTATGTTTATTTTTACCATGAATTAGTTTGATGTGACACAATTATGGATGACAAATTTTGTTAAATAAAAGGTTTAACAATAATTTTACAATTAGACTAGATTAATGAATAATTTAGTAACAAATTAGGTTTGTTCTAAATTTTATGAATATCAAAGAATATGTCAGGAGTCAATTTTTGTTGTCTTAGGATCTGTCCTGATCTTGCTTCAGGGGGGTTCTTTCTAAGTAAGAATGGTCAGAATGGTATCAAAGTACAGATGCCGCTGGATATATATACTTTCACAATTAATTTATTTTTTATCTGATTTGCTTGTTAAATTGCACAGTTATACATGTAGTTTTCAGTGGCAGATTTATTTTGTATTTGATTTGCCTGTTAAATTGCACAGTGGCAAATTTGGGGTGGCACAAAGGGTGTACGCCCCCTTTGATTGGAAAATGTATAATTTTTTAGCATAACATTGTCCAAATTTTATATTAAGTTTTCTATAATTATTTACATTTGAAAAATCCTGGATCCACCCTTGGGGTTATAATTGTAATTGTGGCTTGTAAAGGTACCTTATTTCTAACTACAGCATCATCTAAGCACAATTTCACAACAGTCACCTAGTTCTAAATACTTCACTATATATGTATTAGCACTTAGTTATCAGTTATTACTATGTTTGCAAGACCTTATATCGTATATACAAGGGATATCCATTTCTAGGAAAAGTTGGTACTCAAAAAGTTGACAAATTTCATTTATTCATCATATCCCTATTAAGATAAATAACGGTGACCAACTGTTAGAATGCAAAGTTACCTTTAATTCCTTAAGATTTGTCTACTTAACCAGAATTTTTTATTTTTATTTATTCTTGAAAAAATAGGGGAAAAAGAATATATTTGAGTAAGAGTATTACTTTAAATTTGATACTCAAATGTTCTGGGCAATACTCTGGTACATGATTACTCTATGACAACCCATTGAAAATAGATAAACAGCACAGATAAATGATATCCATACCACTATTCAGTATCATGATGTAATATTTTCCAAACCTATATTTAGTCAACATCAAAAGTTATATTATGTAGCTAGTTGGCTGAGTAGTCTTTGGCACTATAAACAGTGCAAGTGGTTTTTCTATTGTCTTAAAAAACTTGTGTTTCTAATCTTGCTGCAGAATCATATAAATTTGAAGGTGCGAAAAAAAAAAAAAACATGATGCAGTGCCAACATTATTGGGCTGAATTCAAGAGGTACAGTAATATATGTTGAAAACTCTGTGTAGCTGTTGCCTTGACATCTATTGCAATGTTGTTACATAGGCACCAGATAAATATGATATGATGAAAAACCCAAAACTTTATATAGAAACATCCTGGTAAAGGGATGTGATGATTTATCAGTACACATGTACTTGTTTGTTTTATATGTATTATACTAAAAACAAATAAATTAAATTTTTTGCAGGTTTTAATGGTATTAATTGTGAAAACAGTATTAATGAGTGTGCCTCAGGACCATGTAAAAATGGAATATGTATAGATGAAGTTAATGATTATAGTTGTAATTGTACAGGAACAGGTATGTACTTACTGTTAGGCAAAAATTTAATTTGTATCTATTTCCTATTATTGCCATAAACAAATAATGGTATGGTCAGAAGGTTGGCATTTTTTTTTTTTTTTTTTTTTATCTCTTATCAACAGGCAAAAAAATAAATGCTTGTTTCCTGCCTCCCCATCGACCCTAAGTTTGATCGGAGACCCTAAAATATTTTATTGCTTGTCCAAAAAAATATTTCAAGAAAAAGCATTGTGAGTCGTCTTATTTGACTATGAATTCAATTTCCCCTAGATTATTCACTCTAAATTGTAATAAGATTGATGCATATTTGTTGTTGAGCTTGTCAAACCATTGAAAATTATAAACGTATCAATATGCATGCACAAATTACTGGATGCAAAAGTGTATAAAGGTATCAAACTCTGAAAAAACATGAGATTTTTCCAGATTTTGTTAACATGCAAAAAATTATATTGAATTAAAAATAAAATGAAATTCCAACCGACAGACCCTATTTTATAATGGTTGGAGGCAGGAAAAAAACATTTTTTTTGTTTTGTTTGGCCTTATCTGAAAAAAAACAACATTTTCTCTTATTTTGGACCAGATTTACACTTTACATCCCATAATTCACACATGGGAAATTTATCTTTTCAAATTCCTGTCTTAAATAGTGGCAATCCAAATTCCACTCCCCTTTCATCCTGGTAGACATACCATGCAAAAACATTGTAATGTCCTGAATATGCATGAAATGGTTCCGACTGAATTGCAAGCAAGCAATAACCAATCAATCCATCCTTTCTTCTAATGTTCTGACCACTTCTTGACCCTTCTTGATTTCTACTCAAATGAATCAAAACAACTTTTCTTAAAAGTTTTTTTGGGACAAGGCATTAAAGTGTTTTAGGGTCAGCATGTCAAATATAGGATCAATAAATGGGAGGGAGGAACAACATATGATTTTTCTTTTTGGCCTAGAGATGTCACTTGATCAAAAATGATATTTGTGTGTACTGTCAGGTCAACTTAATATGAGTGTGTTGTAATTACACTAAGTTCATCTAAAAGAACATTAAATCATTCAAAAACCCTCATTTTTTTGCAGTGTGATTGAACTTATTTGTTAATTGAACAAATATAATTGCTTTAAAGCTTATTTGCACCACACTCGTTTAAAATAAATCTGGTATAGTACTTATATTAATGTGGTAATAAACTTAGACGTTTAATATGTTTTAAGGTTATACTGGACAGACATGTGAGACAAATGTAGATGAATGCCAGTCTGGAACATCCATTTGTGGTACTGGAACATGTTTTGATAATCCAGGCTCCTTTACTTGCCAATGCCCTACTGGGTTTGAAGGACACCAGTGCCAAAAAGTAAGCTTATTATCTATATTTGACCTGGTATTGATAACCTACAATGAAAGAAAAACCCAGTTTATAGCTGTTGAAGTCATAAAACCTAAAATTTGTTGCACAATATGCCAACTCCAAAAGTAAGTCTAAAATTTATATCTTGTTTTCTGGGTATCCAATTGGCTTGATTTAAAACATTTTATGAAAGCTGGTATTTTAGGAATTAATATTCTATGTTCCATATAAATGCAAAATATGTGACCAGTTCTTATCATATTTCTTAAAACTTACATTTGAATCATGCATTTTTCATAAATTACACATTTCTTTTAAATTTTCTTGATAACAATTTTTAAAAGCTCTAATTTACAGTAAAGGAACTAGTCCTAATGACATAATTGTGTTAAAACACATGTAAGAGTTAACGCATTGTAAAAATGCTCAAAATACATATTCATACAATACATTTTATCCATTTTTCTACCATAAATAAACCTCATGAGGCCTTTTCCTAATTTTTATACGACCGCACAAAAATTTTGTGGTCGTATATTGGTATGACGTTGTCGTCGTCGTCCGGCGTCGTCGTCGTCGTCCGGCGTCGTCGTCCGAAGACACATTGGTTTTCGCACTCTAACTTTAGTTTAAGTGAATGGATCTCTTTGAAATTTGACCATAAGGTTAAATACCACAAAAGGAAGGTTGGGATTGATTTTGGGGGTTATGGTACCAACAGTTAAGGAATTAGGGGCCAAAAAGGGGCCAAAAATAAGCATTTTCTAGTTTCCAGACAATAACTGTGGAACGGTGTATGGATCTCTCTGAAATTATACTACAAGTTTCCATACAACAAAGGGATGGTTAGGATTTGCTTTGGGGGGTTATGGCTCAAACCGTTTAGGAATTAGGGGCAAAAAAGGGGGAAAAACAAGGTTGTCCTGGTTAATGGACAAATACTTTAGTACAAAACATAATTTAAAGCAGTGTAAGGGAGATAAATCAAATACATCATTGAAATTATCTCCCTTACACTGCTTTTAAATTATGTATAAAGTAATGGTTAATGAACAATAAAGATAATTTAAAACAGTGTAAGGGAGGTAATCCAAATACAACGTTTTGGTTACTTCCCTTACACTGCTTTTAAATTATGTTTAAAGAAATGCATATTTATAAAGGAAGACCAGTAAAAATATCTGCAAATGTTGCATCTTTTTTTTTTACAAAAAAATCCATATGAAAGATTTGACACTATATTTTTAATTCTATTATAAAATAGATTAAGTTAACACTATGGTAAATTTGAATGGGTAATTATGGTTGCCAACTCCATTGAAAATTTGAATTGAGATTATGACCATATCTTGAGGGAAAGAATTTTTTGGGGGAAAAAAAGGGGGGGGGGATAAAAAGAAATTGTGGGGGGTCAATTTTTTCTCATTTCAGATTTCAGAAATTAAAAAGAATTATTCTTCAAATATTATTTTTTTTTCAAATTTCAAATATTGAAAAATTTCAAGAAGTAATCTTTAATTGCACAGTATGGCGCATTAGATTTGTAAAATCTTTTATCACATTTATTTATTTGTTATGCCGAATCTAACAGTGTATTTAGATTTTTAATTTTGGGTCCAGTTTTCAAATTGGTCTACATTAAGGTCCAAAGGGTCTAAAATTAAACTTTGTTTGATTTTAGCAAAAATTGAATATATGAGGTTCTTTGATATGCTGAATCTAAACATGTATTTAGATTTTTGATTTTTGGCCTAGTTTTCAAGTTGGTCCAAATTGGGGTCCGAAATTAAACTTTGTTTGATTTCAACAAAAATTGAATATATGGGGTTATTTGATATGCTGAATCTAACCATGTATTTAGATTTTTTATTTGTGGACCCCGTTATCAAATTGGTTCATATTGAGGTCAAAAGGGTCCAAAATTAAACTTTGTTTGATTTCATCTAAAATTGAATTATTGGGGTTCTTTGATATTCCAAATCTAACCGTGTATTTAGATTTTTAATTTTGGGTCCTGTTTTTGTCGAGCCTGCGACTTTTGTCGCAGAAAGCTCGACATAGGGATAGTGATCCGGCGGCTACGGCGGCGGCGGCGGCGTTAGCTAACTTCTTAAAAGCTTTATATTTTAGAAGGTGGAAGGTCTGGATGCTTCATACTTTGTATATGGATGCCTCATGTTACGAAGTTTCCGTCAGTCACATGTCAAATGTCCTTGACCTCATTTTCATGGTTCAGTGACTACTTGAAAAAAAAGTTCAGATTTTTTGTAATGTTAGATTCTCTCTTATTATAAGTAATAGGATAACTATATTTGGTATGTGCGTACCTTGCAAGGTCCTCATGCCCGTCAGACAGTTTTCACTTGACCTCAACCTCATTTCATGGATCAGTGAACAAGGTTAAGTTTTGGTGGTCAAGTCCATATCTCAGATACTATAAGCAATAGGTCTTGTATATTCGGTGTATGGAAGGACTGTAAGGTGTACATGTCCAACTGGCAGGTGTCATCTGACCTTGACCTCATTTTCATGGTTCAGTAGTTATAGTTAAGTTTTTGTGTTTTGGTCTGTTTTTCTTATACTGTATGCCATAGGTCTACTTTATTTGGTGTATGGAATGATTGTAAGGTGTACATGTCTAGCGGGCAGGTGTCATCTGACCTTGACCTCATTTTCATGGTTCAGTGGTCAAAGTTAAGTTTTTGAGTTTTGGTCTTTTTTTCTAATACTATATGCAATAGTTCAACTATATTTGGTATGTGCGTACCTTGCAAGGTCCTCATGCCCGTCAGACAGTTTTCACTTGACCTGGACCTCATTTTATGGATCAGTGAACAAGGTTAAGTTTTGGTGGTCAAGTCCATATCTCAGATACTATAAGCAATAGGTCTTGTATATTCGGTGTATGGAAGGACTGTAAGGTGTACATGTCCAACTGGCAGGTGTCATCTGACCTTGACCTCATTTTCATGGTTCAGTGGTTATAGTTAAGTTTTTGTGTTTTGGTCTGTTTTTCTTATACTGTATGCCATAGGTCTACTATATTTATTGTATGGAATGATTGTAAGGTGTACATGTCTAGCGGGCAGGTGTCATCTGACCATGACCTCATTTTCATGGTTCAGTGGTCAAAGTTAAGTTTTTTGAGTTTTGGTCTTTTTTTCTAATACTATATGCAATAGTTCAACTATATTTGGTGTATGGAAATATTTTATGATCCATTTGGCAGTCACGCAGGTTTTATTTGACCTTGACCTCATTTTCAAGGTTCATTGCTCAGTGTTAAGTTTTTGTGTTTTGGTCTGTTTTTTGTCGAGCCTGCGACTTTTGTCGCAGAAAGCTCGACATAGGGATAGTGATCCGTCGGCGGCGGCGTTAGCTAACTTCTTAAAAGCTTTATATTTTAGAAGGTGGAAGGTCTGGATGCTTCATACTTTGTATATGGATGCCTCATGTTACGAAGTTTCCGTCAGTCACATGTCCAATGTCCTTGACCTCATTTTCATGGTTCAGTGACTACTTGAAAAAAAAGTTCAGATTTTTTGTAATGTTAGATTCTCTCTTATTATAAGTAATAGGATAACTGTATTTGGTATGTGCATACCTTGCAAGGTCCTCATGCCCGTCAGACAGTTTTCACTTGACCTCGACCTCATTTCATGGATCAGTGAACAAGGTTAAGTTTTGGTGGTCAAGTCCATATCTCAGATACTATAAGCAATAGGTCTAGTATATTTGGTGTATGGAAGGACTGTAAGGTGTACATGTCCAACTGGCAGGTGTCATCTGACCTTGACCTCATTTTCATGGTTCAGTGGTTATAGTTAAGTTTTTGTGTTTTGGTCTGTTTTTCTTATACTGTATGCCATAGGTCTACTATATTTGGTGTATGGAATGATTGTAAGGTGTACATGTCTAGCGGGCAGGTGTCATCTGACCTTGACCTCATTTTCATGGTTCAGTGGTCAAAGTTAAGTTTTTGAGTTTTGGTCTTTTTTTCTAATACTATATGCAATAGTTCAACTATATTTGGTATGTGCGTACCTTGCAAGGTCCTCATGCCCGTCGGACAGTTTTCACTTGACCTTGACCTCATTTCATGGATCAGTGAACAAGGTTAAGTTTTGGTGGTCAAGTCCATATCTCAGATACTATAAGCAATAGGTCTAGTATATTCGGTGTATAGAAGGCTGTAAGGTGTACATGTCCAACTGGCAGGTGTCATCTGACCTTGACCTCATTTTCATGGTTCAGTGGTTATAGTTAAGTTTTTGTGTTTTGGTCTGTTTTTCTTATACTGTATGCCATAGGTCTACTATATTTGGTGTATGGAATGATTGTAAGGTGTACATGTCTAGCGGGCAGGTGTCATCTGACCTTGACCTCATTTTCATGGTTCAGTGGTCAAAGTTAAGTTTTTTGAGTTTTGGTCTTTTTTTCTAATACTATATGCAATAGTTCAACTATATTTGGTGTATGGAAATATTTCATGATCTATTTGGCAGTCACGCAGGTTTTATTTGACCTTGACCTCATTTTCAAGGTTCATTGCTCAGTGTTAAGTTTTTGTGTTTTGGTCTGTTTTTCTTAAACTATAAGCAATAGGTCAACTATATTTGTTGTATGGAAGAATTGTTAGCTGTTGCCTGCCTAGCATGGTTCATCTGACCTTGACCTAATTTTCATGGTTCATTGGTCAATGTTTAGTTTACTTGGTTAATGTTAAGTTTATGTGACAGCTGTAATAAAGCTTTATATTTAGGACTATCACCATAATATCAATGATTAGTAAAGAAGGCGAGACATTTCAGCGTGTGCACTCTTGTTTAAATTGGTCTACATTAAGGTCCAAAGGGTCCAAAATTAAACTTAGTTTGATTTTAGCAAAAATTGAATTCTTGGGGTTCTTTGATATGCTGAATCTAAACATGTGTTTAGATTTTTGATTATGGGCCCAGTTTTCAAGTTGGTCCAAGATAGGGTCCAGTATTTAAACTTTGTTTGATTTCAACAAAAATTGAATATATGGGGTTCTTTGATATGCTGAATCTAAACATGTATTTAGATTTTTTATTATGGGCCCAGTTTTCAAGTTGGTCCAAATTGGGGTCCAAAATTAAACTTTGTTTGATTTCAACAAAAATTGAATATATGAGGTTCTTTGATATGCTGAATCTAACCATGTATTTAGATTTTTTATTTGTGGGCCCCGCTATCAAATTGGTTCATATTGAGGTCAAAAGGGTCCAAAATTAAACTTTGTTTGATTTCATCAAAAATTGAATTATTGGGGTTCTTTGATATGCCAAATCTAACCATGTTTTTAGATTTTTAATTTGGGTCCCGTTTTTTAAATTGGTCTTCATTGAGGTCCAAAGGGTCCAAAATTAAACTTAGTTTGATTTTAACAAAAATTGAATTCTTGGGGTTCTTTGATATGCTGAATCTAAACATGTGTTTAGATTTTTGATTATGGGCCCAGTTTTCAAGTTGGTCCAAGTTGGGGTCCAAAATTAAACTTTTTTTGATTTCAACAAAAATTGAATATATGGGGTTCTTTGATATGCTGAATCGAACCATGTATTTAGATTTTTTATTTGTGGGCCCAACTACCGGTATCAAATTGGTTCATATTGAGGTCAAAAGGGTCCAAAATTAAACTTTGTTTGATTTCATCAAAAATTGGATTATTGGGGTTCTTTGATATTCCAAATCTAACCGTGTAATTAGATTTTTAATTTTAAGTCCCGTTTTTTAAATTGGTCTACATTAAGGTCCAAAGGGTCCAAAATTTAAACTTAGTTTGATTTTAGCAAAAATTGAATTCTTGGGGTTCTTTAATATGCTGAATCTAAACATGTGTTTAGATTTTTGATTATGGGCCCAGTTTTCAAGTTTGTCCAAGTTGGGGTCCAAAATTAAACTTTGTTTGATTTCAACAAAAATTGAAAATATGGGGTTCTTTGATATGCTGAATCTAACCATGTATTTTGATTTTGGACATTGGACCATAATAGGTAAATTAAAAAAATTCAAGTTCTTAGACCACTTTCTTTCTGTGTCAGAAACCTATGCTGTGTCAAATATTTAATAACAATCCAAATTCAGAGCTGTATCAAGCTTGAATGTTGTGTCCATACTTGCCCCAACTGTTCAGGGTTCGACCTCTGCGGTCGTATCAAGCTGCGCCCCAGCGAAGCATTTTATTGTTCTTATTAAGAGATTATGAGAAAACTATTTAAGACACCAAACAGGAACAACTTGAAAATCTGAAATAAAAAGTTTTCTAAAGAACTGAAAACATGCTATGCTTTTTCGTTTATTTTTTAGTTTTTCAATCCAGTCACATCACAATAGATGACCAGGTTATGCACTGAAAAACTTTTAGTGTTCAAATAAAAATGATAAGATATGTAGATGTTTCTTACTACTGTGAATGCCAACCATTACAACTAAGATGCAAAAACAGAATATAACATGCACTAAATTTGTGCTACTGTCTCTTTCTTTTTAAAATTTATTTCTCTTGACTAAATTTTGCATATATTATTCCCACATAACTAAATAAAGATCAGGTAAAATAATTTAATTTTGTAAATTGCAGATAGCTAGTAGTAGCTAGACACATTTTATAACAATTTTTTACACTTGTCTGCTTAAGTTGCATATATAATTGTCATTGAAGTAGATATTCTATTTCTGTTGGCTAAAATGAGTTGCTGAAAAGACATCACAGACAATAAAAAAAAGTAAAAACAAGATTCTAAATGGTAGCTGATTTTGGAAAATGACTGATTTGAGGGGACGGGAGGATATAGAAGAATGTAATAATCTATAGATAATTTAATGGCTGTGCATATAAATAATGAACTAAATATGTTTGTAGAATATAGATGAATGCAGCTCTTCCCCATGTTTCAACGGTGCCACTTGTTTTGATGGTATAGCTAATTACACATGTGTTTGTGTCACTGGATTCGAAGGCCCTGACTGTAAAAACAACACAGATGATTGTAAAAATATCATATGTCCAGGAAATTATACAGTGTGTGTAGATGGTATTAATCAATACAGTTGTGAATGTAAACCAGGTTATACCGGTAAGATTTGTACTGGGGATTCATTATTATTCATGGGATACCAAAGTTCGTGCATTTCGTGGGTACAGATGAACCACAAATTCAAATGTTCAACAAATTAAAATTTTCTATTGGGTTGTACATGCAGACTTTTGCAAAACTATGAAATCAAATATAGACGAAAATGCAAAATGTCCTTAATCCAAGAAAATTGGTACGAAAATTAATGAATCCACAGTATTTTATAGAGGGGAAATTAAAGGAGGTACATGTATGTATAAGTTTTACGAGAAAAAAACGAATAATTTTTTATTTTTTGCATAATTATCCAAGTTTTTCCCCAGAATAGAATTGTACCAGTCACACACTTCTTTCTTGAGAAAAACCATCAAGCTTTGGCTTCAGCATCTCTGATATAACATATGGATCATAAAAGTTTTTCATATATTGGAAGTAATTTGTAGCTCGAATAGTATGCTTTTAGTTTTACCAGTATGTGAAATTTCTAATGAAATATTTAAATAAAATTATTTTTATTTAAATGGAAGCCTGAAATAACTTTTACATTAACAGTATGAAAGATTAATTAAAACAATTCACACTTATGAAATACACTATTGTGAAAATGTGTCATGATAAACATTTTGCCTTTAGAGGACAGTGTTATGGTAAATTACCATAGGAAAAGAAATATATCAGTTGAGACATAGTTGAAGGTGAAATATATTTTTTCAGTGTGGTAATCTACATAAAAAAATTATCTTGAGGTTAGAATTATACTGATCGTTGATGGTTCATGGTTCAAATGTATTAAACAGAAAATGTTAAATTAAGATCCTTATTTACATTGTAAAAAAAATCATAAATATATAGGTAGAAGTTTTTCTTTTTTTAAGCATTTAATGGTCACATTTCCTGGCTAACATGCATTTTGTAAATTTATGTCTCTTATATAGCTGTATTTGTATAATTAGAAACACTCAATAAATATAGTAGCTAATACTCTACTGCATCAAGTAAATCCAGGTTGTTTCCAACCAGAGACTTACTTGAAAGTATTCTAATTGTAAAAAAACAAAATCTTATGAGAAAAAATTTATGATCAATTTTTGTTATGAGACTTTTTGTTAAAAGAACCCCAGGTATTTAGACAACATTTCAAGAATTTTTCCAAAAGTTTAAGACAATAAAAATACCAGCCAAATAATCTTTACCTTTCTAGGTGTACCAGGAAGCTGTACAGATATAGATGAATGCACAACAGACCCCTGTAGAAATGGAGGAACTTGTCAAAACTTAGAAAATGCTTATAATTGTGTTTGTCTTGCTGGTTATACTGGACAGCATTGTCAGAATGATATCAATGAATGTGATCCTAGCCCTTGTCAGAATGGGGCAGAGTAAGTATAACTATCAGTATGATGTCAATGAATGTGCTCCTAGCCCTTGTCAGAATGGGGCAGAGTAAGTATAACTGTCAGTATGATGTCAATGAATGTGATCCTAGCCCTTGCCAGAATGGGGCAGAGTAAGTATAACTGTCAGAATGATGTCAATGAATGTGCTCCTAGCCCTTGTCAGAATGGGGCAGAGTAAGTATAACTGTCAGTATGATGTCAATGAATGTGATCCTAGACCTTGTCAGAATGGGGCAGAGTAAGTATAACTATCAGTATGATGTCAATGAATGTGCTCCTAGCCCTTGTCAGAATGGGGCAGAGTAAGTATAACTGTCAGTATGATGTCAATGAATGTGATCCTAGCCCTTGCCAGAATGGGGCAGAGTAAGTATAACTGTCAGAATGATGTCAATGAATGTGCTCCTAGCCCTTGTCAGAATGGGGCAGAGTAAGTATAACTGTCAGTATGATGTCAATGAATGTGATCCTAGACCTTGTCAGAATGGGGCAGAGTAAGTATAACTGTCAGTATGATGTCAATGAATGTGCTCCTAGCCCTTGTCAGAATGGGGCAGAGTAAGTATAACTGTCAGTATGATGTCAATGAATGTGATCCTAACCCTTGTCAGAATGGGGCAGAGTAAGTATAACTGTCAGTATGATGTCTATGAATGTGCTCCTAGACCTTGTCAGAATGGGGCAGAGTAAGTATAACTGTCAGTATGATGTCAATGAATGTGCTCCTAGCCCTTGTCAGAATGGGGCAGAGTAAGTATAACTCTCAGCACTATATCTACAAATAGGTTTCAACCAATACCTGAATGGGGCAGGTTATTAGGGATATTAAAATCTGATTAGAATACGGATCCTGTGTCCACGCTTAGCTTACAGGGATCTGAAAACACTCTGATGTATTTTTTGTTCTGGTAATTATTCGTCAGCCAGTGAAAGTTATATCTTCAAATTTGTGAAGGTGTGTATAATTAGATCCCGAAAATTCTTTTTAACTGAAAGTAGAACGGAACAATTTCAGATCCTTGTCAGCGAACCAAGGACACAGGATCTGCATTTTAATCAGATTGTTTAAAATAGTGTAGAACTTCCTGTCAAATCTTGCGAGTGTGGAACTCTGTATGAGTATTTGAGAATCTCATGCAGGTGAGAACTTTTGGCTTTTTGAGGTAACTCAATATTTTATCAAGTGATAATGAATTTACCATTTATTATGCTTTATCAAAATGCCTTGACTGGCTGTTATTGAAGCTATATCTTTGATAAAAAAAAGCACTCAAAAGATAAATAGATTATCAATTTTTCAGACTAGAGATTTTCTAAATTCTTAGCTTTGTGATGTTATATGAACCGTTATGGGGTTGAACATTGAACAAACATGTAAAAATCATATTGTGACAAGCAAGTTGAAATTTACTTGAAAAAAGGAATCATTTCTGATTATGAGCTTCTTTTTTTGATAGATGTAAAGATTTGGTGAACAACTATGAGTGTGTTTGTTTAGCTGGATTTACTGATAAGAACTGTCAGACGAACATAGATGAATGTGAAACCAACAATCAGCCATGTCAGAATGGAGCCACTTGCCTTGATTTGGTTAGTTATTCATGTAGCAAATTATTTACATGGAGGTTTTATAAGGGTATATTACTGACTATTTTACTGTCATTTACTAACAATCTATACAAATGTGCATATTTGCCCTTCATACTAAAAATGTATGCATGATCAACGCAGTTACAACTCTATAAAATCACAAAAAGAAGTGTTCAATTCTTATACCGGTAATTACATTTTTTATGCTACAACCATGAAATTATAAGTTATAGCAATTTTTTCTTATGTTTTCCTATGTATTTTTGTGACATCATGAGAAGCATGTGCTGTCATGAGTGTTGAATTTATTGAGAAATACAATAGGATATTGGAAATGTGTCGTGATTGCTTTCAGCCAATCAACAGTATGGTTTCCAATGAAATATACATGTTATGTAATTATTCTTAATTGGTTTGCAGGTGAATGACTTCAATTGTACTTGTACAGCAGGATGGACTGGACAGCTGTGTGACCAGGACATTAATGAATGTAGTCCTCAACCCTGTCTAAATGGTGCTACATGTCATAATTATCAAAATTTTTACAACTGTACATGTGTTGCTGGTTATGATGGTAAATACTTTCTGTATTAGTTTGTTTTAGTTTTTTTTATCACAATATAGTGGTCATTAGTCGTGTGAATATCATTCAATACCTTGAAATTTTAAAAGCAACCAATCACTAATCAAAATGGTTAATCTGAAAGAAACATTACCTATAAAAATACTGCAAAAATAGCTTTGATTAGTAGCTTAAAATATATATAAGCTTAAAATTATACCTTTTCATAATAGATTTGTTACTGACAGTGAATTTTAAAAAAGATGCAAAATAAAAACTTAGATTGTCTTGTAAAATAATAAGTAGATACCATGAATGCACGACCAGATGCAGGGCCAATATTAGTTGCATTACATAGTTTTTTATTGTCAACAATACATAAATCTTTGTTTTTCAATACCTCTCTTAGCTTATACCAATCTAGCTTTAAGATAAGTGAATACCAATCTGGCTTTAAGATTATCTAATACCTGTTAAATGCTTCTTTTTTTGTTGCATACCATGCAGATTATGACTAGTCATAGATTGAATATGAATTGTTTGTTTTATTTAAAGATCCTCTACAGTATTAATTCTACTCTTCAGGCAGTTAAAATTTCTAATTTTCTAATTTTAAAGGCATGGGATTACTGAACAAGTTTTAATTATTGGTAATTAAACTTTTGAGAGTGGAAATGAGGAAAATATTTTATGATTTTTAGAAAATAAATAACTGGTTTGGAATAAGTATAAATTGGAACTGCATAATGTTAGATAATAGTAGTTTGTGTTATTTTTCATTGCACTAAATGAGAGTTATTTACTATCATCATGTCAATTAAGGAATATTAGGTCTGTGTTTGAGGAGTTGCCACCACCAGAACCCCATTTACAATGGCAAATTTTCAAAATAATATTCTAATGCAGTTTTGGTAAAATGTTCCCGGTCTGTGGTTGAGGAGTTGCCACCACCGGGACCCAATTTACAAAGACAAATTTTCAAAATAATATTCTAATGCAGTTTTAGTCAAATGTTTCCAAAAAAAAGTTGAAATGTCCACTGCAATTTCCCAATCTTGTTGCCGCTGACTGCAAAGGTCAACTTTGGAAAGGATGGCAGATTTTATCCAATCAAAAGCTATGTTATTATATTGCATTAAAAGTGTAGATATATGTTGGTTTATTTTTTTCAAAAACGTCTATAAAATAAAATTAAATTATGAATTCTAAATACTTAATTAACTTCTTTTTTTTGTTTGTAAAATTATAGGTAAAAACTGTCAAAACAACATTGATGATTGTGTGCCAGATCCATGCCAGAATGGGGGATCCTGTGTAGATCTTGTCAATGGATATCAATGTAACTGTGGTGAAGCCTGGATGGGTAAGAACTGCTCGGATGAATATGATGCATGCTCATTCACGCCATGCAGGAATGGTGCCACCTGCTCTACAAACAAAACAATGAGACAATATAGCTGTGCATGTGTTACCGGATTTGAAGGCCTTGACTGTCAGACGAATTTTAATGATTGCAAGTCTGACTCCTGCTCGCCACCATTTGTATGCTTTGACCTCGTCAATAATTATACCTGTGCATGTCCAACAGGTTTGTGCAATATGTAATAAAGTTTTCTTCAATCTTATCAGTAATATTGGAAGACTGTATTTTATGCAAGCGTACCTATTATTTTGCAGCTTTCTGTCATATGCAATATAATTAGTAAATTGTGATAGAAGTAAGAGGTAAAATGTATAATCTGTGACTACTAGAGGTATGAGTCCCATGTATGATTGAAAATGATTTTAAGATTTCATGTAGACTGTTGAAGAAAAAAAATGCATGCCTTAAATAATACATACCTCTTTCAAAACAGACACCTTTTGAATTATGAATATATGGTTGAGTTGATACATATTTCCAGCAGGGAAGTTGTTATACATTCATTGTATTTAGAAATGAACAAGAATGTCACTTGGTAAAATAATGGCCAAATATATATTGCAGCAAAAATTAATTGTGACATCATCGATTAAGTCATACACAAGCAGTAAATGATATGAGAAGAAAAAAATGGTCAATGCAAAAATATAATGATATATAGAATGATAGAGGTCAAAAAGTGAATAATAAATAAATCAAATAAAAAATGGGTCCAAGAAATATTAGCAGGGAGCTATATATAAATTAAACTTCTGCATGATGATATATCTAACTTCTGACGAAAGTTTTTTTTTCAAATTTCAAATTTGGGGCTTGTTGGATGTTTTTTTTTTAAAAATCTTATGTAAAATATTTTGTTTTCTCTATGACATCATTTTTTTTTCTTGCTGCCACCAATGAAAATTAAGTACTGTGGTTCCCATTGATTTTCGTAGATACCAATTTTTGTTGATCGATAAAAAGTTGTATTTTTCGTGAATATTAGATTTTGTTGTTTTGCCAAAGTCTGCTTACATGCCTGTAGAAAAAATTGGACTTCGCTGAATTTTTAAATTTGTGGTTTTCTATGCCGATTAAATCACCAAAATTGGTATCCAACAAAATCTAATGAATCCACAGTATTTGCACCATATTGAATTTAATAATAAAGGGCTAAGAATAATTTAGCCACATGTGGTTGTGAAAAGTATAAATTGAGTTAGAATGACAGAAGCGGTAATATCACAAGTTTAGACAAATCTATAGGTAAGGTAACATAACTGCACAATAGGTGGAAACTGTGGTAGCTTAGCTTTCATGGTATGAAATGAAGAGGATTAAAACAGCACATGCAATATTTTTTACTAATATTTTACTTCCTGCCAGTGATATTTCAAAATCTTTTGGCCTGTATGGTCAAATGGGGCTAAATGCTATTATATAGACAGTTGTTTATTATAACAATAAGCTTTGAAAATCATATGGTGTTGTAAGAAGGTAGCTACTGCTCCAAGTTTATTTTTTGTGTCAAAAAACAAAAAGAGAAAGATTTTCATTAAATTGAAGCATTAGCAGTCAATTGACTCACCCATACCATTTTCAAAGTTCTTCTTGAGTATTTTCAAATTTTTTTTTATAAGATTTTAAGATCTGTATGAGTTAAAAGTAGAGAGATAAGCTTGATCTTTATGAATTCTTACATTATATAATACACTGAACAACTTTTTGTCACTCCTTGAACCCATTTGAATTACTTCAGTGTACTGTTTATTTTTTTCATATGCATCTTATTTTATTATTTGCTACTGCTCCAACATGTACATTCTAATTATAGAGCTGTAACAATTTTAGGGTACTAAATAGACAATGTACATTTTATTAATTAAGGTCTTTCCACTACGTTAGGAGAGACGTTATTGTTTTTATAATTTGATATATATCTTATTATGCATATTTGAATTATATTTTCTAATTGTCTTTTTCACACAAGGTTAAGTTTATTGAATTGTGGTAAAACTACCTCTTCAATGTAAGACACTTTTTGCTAGTCTTTTTAGATCTTTTAGGGGTTTTCATGTATAGATTTTACTTTTTTAAGTTTTGGATTAGAGGGTACCTCCAAAAGACTACATAGGAAACATGTCTGGTTTTGTCACAGAAATCAGTATCATAAATTTGTATTACATATAGACCTACTTTGGATTCACTATTGTTGATTGGATACCAATTTTTATGGGTAGGTTAAAACCACAAAAAAAATAGATATAAAGAGTTATCTTCATTTAAATTATGGCCAAAAATACTTACTGTCAGATTTTCATCTGATTTCAAACTTTATTTTTTATCACATTGATATGCATTCAGGATACACTGGTGTAAACTGTTCAGAAGAAATTAAGGAATGTGACAGCAACCCTTGTAAGAATGGTGCCACATGTATCGATCAAATAGGCAATTACACATGTCGATGTCCTCAAACATTTGTAAATTTGACCAAGTTTGGTAATGGAGAAAAACTAGAATTTTTGACTGGATACAAGGGAGAGAACTGTGAGATTAATATTGACGAATGTGCCCTGAGACCATCCATTTGTTTAAATAATGGAACTTGTAAAGATGGAACTTCAAATTCAGAATATTACTGTCAATGTGGACCTGATGCCAATGGGATATATACGACAGGTCAGTAGTACAAAAAAAATGATTTGGGGTGAAATTTTTCTTAAAAGTGCTCTGTTTACTATGAAAAAAACATTTGAAAGACACTCAAAACTATGACATATTGCACAAAAACAATTTAAGGTTACCAATTAAAAATAGGAAAGTAAACATTAATTTAAATTAAATACTGAAATTCAATTTCCTGATAAAACACACATTGAAATCTTTAATAATTCATTAAAAAATTAAATGGTATGATGGCTTTTTTTTAAGACTGAGTTCTGAAATTTGTACCATTATTATACATGAATTTCCTTAATTATATGATTATGTAAACCATATCCTGATTTCACTCTGAAAGGACTGAGAAAGTGTCCAGAATTTTTGCCAATTTTATCTCCTAATAGATTCTTATTGTGAGAAACCACAACTGTCATATGCTAAGTGAAATAAGGAAATGTTTGATACTGTTTGATTAATATTTTTGTCTTGATATTTTTTCAGGAAAGAATTGTGAGTTAAGAACATCATACTGTGAATCATCAGATGATGTAAAAAATGATCCACCTGCCTGCAAAAATGGTGGTACATGTGTAGTAGGGGACACAACTTATTCTTGTATCTGTCCTCCAGGATTTACTGGTAATTATCTCCCTTATTTTATACTGTGAATTATCAGGCATTATAAAAATGATCCACCTACCTGCAAATATGGTGGTACATGTACATGTGTATCTAGGGACACAACTTTCCTTTGAATCTGTCCTCCAAGATTTACTGGTAATTATCTCCCTTTTTTATATCACGTATAGCACTGTTCCACCAATCAAAGAATTTTTAGTAATCAAGGTATAATGGTTGATTAATTAAGTTTGAACAAGAACTTGATCATTTTGCATTTTTCTTGGAGTTTTGGGAATATATGAAATATTCACCTGTCTGTCAGGACCATGTCAGTTTTCTTTTGTTCAATTCCTTGAAGTTCCTACTGAAGCTAGTCAAAAAATTGCCCTTTGAACTTAATTTTTTACTATGACCAGCACACTGGATCAGCACATATCTTGTCATCTAAGCTTTTGTCAATATCTTGTGTGAGCATAAAACTTTGTTCCTTTTTATTAGCTAGATATATTTACATATACATTTTCCAAATTCCAATGATTTTTTTTTTTTATTTTCAATTATTTTTGAAAAAAATTATAAAATTGAAAATAGAACCTCTGACTAGTAATATTTCATTAACCTGTATCAAAATCATTAAAAAAGATGTATGTGATGTGTTCAAGGAAATATATTTTGACAAGTAATTGGGTGCAATATTTCTTGGAATACTTTTCCAGTTATTATGCACAAAAAATATGGTGAGCCCATTTTTGTTTTAAAAAAAGCTGTCATTGATTTTAATCAGCACATAAAATAACATTTTATTAACATTGTTGAGATGCATTCAATAGATAAAGTAAACAGATGAAGTAAAAAATGAAAATATTTGATTTCAGGGCCCAGATGTAGAGTTAATATTGACGAGTGTGAATCTAGTCCATGTCAATACAATGGTACATGTGTGGATGGTATTAATGGGTACACCTGTACCTGTATCCCGGGTATAACTGGTCCAAACTGTGAGATCGACATAGATGAATGTGCTTCTACGCCATGTGAGAACAAGGGTCAATGTCATGATAAAATAAATGGGTAAGCGTTAATGAATCAGATTTTCATTATGGAAATTTTTGTTTTTTGTTTACAATTTATGCACCAGGTAGAACTTTAAAAATTAAAACAAAAGTATATATAAACATAAAAAGTAGAAGATGGATTTCATGATAACAAGCAGAAATGTGATCACTTACTTTAAAATAGTAGTTTTTATTCTAGCTGTTGTTTTGCGCTGAAATGATGCAGGTACTTAAATTCGTAGAATAAAAGTTAATTTTTACTTGTCAATTGTATAGTAAATAGTGCCATTAGTGATATGGACCAAGTAGATTACTCACACAAGAGCTCCTTTATTGAAGGAAAATAACTTTTAGAACATGTTTTTATTTGTTATAGTTCTGTCTTAATTACAATTCTTTATTTCTATATTCACTTAAATGATTGATGTTATAATAAAAAGTTTCTATTCAGCTTAGTAGTTTCCGAAGTTCCTAAAAAAGTTCTACAGTACACAGCAGGGTATAAATGCATGACAGAAAATGGAATTCTTGATATATTTTTTATTTTATTTTTCAGTGGTTTTAAATATCTCAAAAACATAATAATTGACTAAATCTTAAAAAATTATTACAATACGGGTGTATTATTTTATTTTCAACTCCATATAGGTTACACTAATCGTTAATAATAATGAGCTAGTAAAAATAATAAAACTGCAGAAAAGGGCTGCAAGACTAATTTTAGATGCTGATCCACTTTCATCATCAGCACCACTGTTTAAACTGCTTTGGTGGATGACAGTAGAAAACAGAATCTCATACCATAAATCTGTTTAGATGCATAAATGCATTAATAATGAAGCCCCTGTATATTTAGCTGAAAAATTTAAAGAAATGCCAGAAATAAACCAATATTGTTTGAGGAATACGTCTTACTAAAAATTGCAAGTTCCAAAAGCCAAAACAGAGCTGTAAAAGAATTTTTTTATATATTTGGGATCTGTTTTATGGAATAACTTACCAATATCCCTGAAAAAATTGACCTCAAGTACAAGTTCATTCATAAAAGATTTCAAAAATTACTTGTTGGAACATTCAGAAGCTGTGTAATTTTATATGCATAATAATTTTTTACACACTTATTTAAATTTTAAATATTGTTGATGTAATTTGAATGATGCCAATACTATATGAATTCATCATTTTTACCTATTTTAAAAATTGTTTATTTCATAGCAATTTCTCATTAGATTTTTCATATGTGTGTATTTGTTTGATTATTTTGTAATTCTTTGTTTGTTATTTTTCAATGTATTTCATGATGGCCTCAGGGAAGATTAGCTTTATAGCTAACTGTGTAACCCTCTTTAAATAAAGAATTATTATTATTATTATATTAATATAATAACCATAACACTTAAATGTAAACTTATTTAAATGAGATATTTGAAATATTTTTTTATCTTTATTATAATTATCTGTTAATTAAAACATGTTTGTAATTAGAATTGAAATATCAATTACTTTTCTAGTCACTTACTTATATTCTGTTTGTCAAAATTACTTTTGGGGCCTCTTTGGCCAAGTGGTCTAATTAGTAGAACAACTGTATCACTAGCCTGTCAAGCTGAGGTTGTGAGTTCGAATCCTGGATGTGGCAGGTGTGCTCGACTCCAATCTTTTTTGACTAGGATTGTCAGTTTTCCTACTGAAGGTTGACTGTTCTCTTCGAGCACTCCGGCTTCTTCCACCAATAAAAACCTGACTTCAATGAAATATAACGATAGTGTTGAAAGTGGCATTAAACACCAATTAATCAATCATTCAATCAATCGAATTACTTTCATTACTGGAACTTATATTTAATGCATAGAATTGTAGTACTTTTTAATTCTTTTTACCAAAGGTTATCTAGATAAGTCATACTATATATGATACATTTCAACCTTGCTCATCTTTATGTTTGCCTTATCAATTGTATTATCTTTCAATCAACAACATTTCCATCCACTGGTATATATTTATGAATAATGGCTGATAGAATATGTTGTCAGGTATAACCTTAGTGAATATAGGTTTTAAAAATCTGTAAGATCACATGACAATCTATAAAATGGATATCTTTCTTCAAGATGTTATATTATAGTTATCTCCCTTTTCAGATATGTGTGTAATTGTACAGATACAGGTTTTAATGGAACAGAATGCCAGTTTAACATTGATGATTGTGCCATCTTAGATCCCTGCAAAAACAATGCTTCATGTACAGATCTTATTAAAGTAAGAGTTAGTTGCCGCTTGCTTTGTGGTCAGAAAATTTCTGAGTATGCTTATCCTACTCAGACTTAGCATTCAACCAATCAAAATATTGGATTTGGTGTTTTGAGCACATATTTTGTACTCAGAGTACTGTGTAAAGTTTATGACCAAGAGCCCTGGACTCCAATTGGGAAGAATTTTCCAAAGCAAGGTCAAGCCAAAGACTTTGAAAGTAGTATTTGATGTTTTTCTATCAAACGTTCAGATGGGCCTTGGTGGCAGAGAGGTCTAAGTAGTAGAACTACTGTATCACTAGCCAGTCAACACTGAGGTTGTGAGTTTGAATCCCTCACTGGGCAGGTGCACTTGACTCCAATCTTAATTGACTAGGATTGTCAGTTTTCCTACTGAAGGTCGGTGGTTCTCTCCGGGCACTCCGGCTTCCTCCGCCAATAAAAACTGACCACCACAAAATAGCACACTAGTGTTGAAAGTGGTGTTAAACACCAATCAATCAATCAATCTATCAAACGTTCAGCATGTAAGAGTAAGAGCAATAAAGTTAGCATAATATGTTTGCTTAGGGTGATGTGTCCTTTGATGAATTGTTGCCTTTTTAAGCCTGCACATAAGCATGCATGTCAGTTCAGCCAAAGCAACTATTTTCCTTAAAACTGAAATTTATGTATCAACAACATATAGTTTTTTAAGAAAAATCTATGTATTAGAAATTAGAGATTTAATGATTTTACAACAAATTTAAGAAGTTTTTCACCGATTTTCTGTGCTTTTTATACAAATGTTCACCTATTTAGAAATATTTTTCGTTTAAGAATTGAATGCTGCTTTTTGTAAATTTATTGAGGTGTAAAAGCATTGACCGAAGTACATTTTGTATAAAGAGCGGAAGCGCTTCATTCTAAATAGGTGCGCACGGTCAACACTTTTACAACCCTATAAAGTTACTAAAAGAAGCATTCAATACTTATAATTACTTTTTTTGCTAGGATCATGAAAAAACGATTTCTATCAAGTTTTTCTTTTATTTACCTGTGACTTTATTCTGGAAGCTCGTGTCATCATGATTGATACATTTCATTTTGAAATAAAGGTTAATTTCAAAATGACGAGGGATTGCTGTTAGCCAATCAAAATAACGTATTATAATGAAACATACATGTAATGTAATTATTTGTATATGGTCATTAAATTTTAAGATGTATTAAAAAATATGGCTTTGAGTCCAATTTTCATATGATTTTAAATTGCATAATTTGCACTCTAACAATGTTTTTATCTGTTATTATTTTTCTGCTTCAAGAAATCAATACACACTGCAAAAAAAGTTGTGAAAAATAAAACAAATCATCTTTTCCTTTGTAGGACTACAGGTGTAATTGTTTCTCAGGATATACGGGTAAAAATTGTGAGACTGACATTGATGAGTGCATATCAAACCCATGTCAGTACAATGGTACATGTACACAGAGGTCCATTCAAAACAATCCAGGTTTTTCCTACTTTGACGCAGCTGGGTATGATTGTAGTTGTATTCCTGGAATAACAGGTAATGTTACAATTAGAATAAAACATTTTAATGTACTACTCTTTTTCATTCTTTCTTATTGATTTTTTCAACTGTTCATCTTTTTGTCTTTGATTAGAAAGTTTGTATTTGATAACAAAGAGTAAATTTTGTATAGATGTACTGGTAAGAAAATTCTAGTCAAATTAAAAGTTTCATTTTCTTGGTTTCATATGTATGCTGCTTGGGAAAAATTAGTCTACCAAACAGCATTGTATTTATTGACGTGTTATTATACCCCATGTTATTGAATGTTTAAGGGGTATATACAAACCAATAACTTTCAGCAAATCATTCCTATCTAACTTTTGAAAGCCTTTCAATTCATCTGATAAATATGATTTTATTTCAAATTGTGTCTGACATGTAAGATCTTGTAAGGGTGCATTGTGGGTATTTTAGCAGCCTCACTCAAAAATTAGATCACTTCGACCTTCATTTTACTCTCCATGTACTAGATTTTTAAGTTTTACAACCAAATTCAGATCTTAGGATACTAAGAGACCTGCAATCATAGTACTTGGTGTAAAGATGCATCTAAGTATAGCAGTATCCCAAAAGAAGTAGTTGCTCTGACTTTCTATTAATGGTTCAACGACCAAGCTTTACAATCTAGTTTAGATCTCAAATACTGTAAACTCAGAAATTATTGTGTGCATTTATTATTGCAATTCTGCATACATATGCATATATCAGATCTCAGAATGCGAGTTCTAATTATTGCAATACTAACCCAGTCTTACTATTGGCATTAATAATCAAAGTGCTTGTAAGCACTGAAGGGTAAAGTTTGCTTTAATTTATCATTGGGATGTCAATTAAACATTGCATTGTATTGGTTGTAGTTGATTCAACTTCAATTATGGACAAAGGAAGATAACTCCAATTTTAAAGATTACTTTTATCAATGACATCATTAATATTTTTAGAACAAATATTAGATTCCTGCACCATGCACAAGTTATGTAATTTTCTTGACAAGTATAACATCATTTTGTAACTTGAATTTCTGAGCATATATTTCATTGATAAATTTCTGGAAATGTTCATGGATAGGATGTATAGAATGTTATGATCAATGCACTATATTTTGTGTATCTCAAAAGTAGTGATAAACCTTGGAAGATTTAGATATCAAGTCATTACCATAGGGTTTTGATTGCATTTCATGCAATCTTTACCCCAAAACCTCAATAATTTCTGAATTTACAGTAATTAATGACCTACAATGATATAACTTCTATGATGATTGATGAAGAAGTGATATTACCTGAGATGATTACAGATCAAATAAAAAGACACAAGTGTAGAACATTTGTTAATGATGAAAGAATCATTAAAATATAATTAATTAAACTGGAATTCAACTTAAATTGGCTAATGATAAAGCAATTTTCATAAAATTTACATAGATTAACCATCTGTTTCTTCCGACAAGTAACTTGTTCAGCTTACGTTCTTGAAAATGTAATGATTTGGAATTGAAACTTTATTTTAAAATATTTTTACTAATAGTCAAAGTTTATTTATTTACTTGAAAAAAATATATTTCAGGTGTTAATTGTGAAATCAACATAGATGAGTGTGTAAACAATACATGTCAGTTTGGTTCTACTTGTGTGGATCAAATTAATGCCTACACCTGTTCATGTGCTCCTGGTTACCGTGGAGACAGATGCCAGACTGAAATCGATGAGTGTGTGGAGTTTCAACCTTGCCAGAATGGTGCCATATGCAAAGATCAAGTTGCAGATTATAACTGTATATGTCCAGAGTTTTATATGAGTAAACAGTATGGTGGGAAAAATTGTACGGTACAATTGACCAGTTGTGTGAACAATAATTGTACAAATGGTGCTACCTGTAAACCATATTTAGTGGATGAAGCCACTAATAAGCAGGCATACACATGTGCATGTTTGAATGGTTATACAGGAGATCTGTGTGAGATTTCAACAACAATGTCCTTTAAAAATGATTCTTTTATCAAAAATACACTGACAAATTTGGTCAACAACACAATATCCATCCGATTCAGGACAACATTGTCTAAAGGATTAATTTTTGCATGGGATGGAAATTTTGTGACGTCTGCCCTATTTTGTACAGTAGAACTATTTAATGGGATGCTATATGTGACTTATCCCGAAGGGGAAAGTAACAATGCTGTAACTAAAAATTACCATTTTCCTCATATGGTCAATGATTCTCTCTGGCATGAAGTCAAAATAACTCAAACTGCAGATATGTTATATTTTGAATTGAAAAGCAGCAAGTGTTTGTCATATTGCCGAAAAAATGTGAGCTATACGACCGAGGCTCCAAAAAATAATATATCTTTTGGGAAATCTGCAAGTGCATTTAAAACTAGTAAGACAGTGTCTAAATCAAACTGGATTGGTTGCATGCAGGATATACATATAAATGATAAAGTTTTAACAATGAGTTCTCCATTACCTGATGCAGTAAATGTTGTCGCTGGTTGTGCGAGGACAATTCAATGTACAACAGATTCTTGTAACAAAAGAGGAACATGTATAGACTTGTGGTATAAACACGAATGTGTTTGTGAAAGACCATACCATGGGACAGACTGTGAGAAAAGTATGTATTTATAAATAACTTAATTATTATTATGCCCTACCTAGCTAGGAGCATTATGTTCTTCGGTCTGTGCGTCCGTTGTTCGTCCGTCCATCCGTTCGTCCGTCTGTTTCACTTTAGGTTAAAGTTTTTGGTCAAGGTAGTTTTTGATGAAGTTGAAGTCCAATTAACTTGAAACTTAGTACACATGTTCCCTATGATATGATTTTTCTAATTTTAATGCCAAATTAGAGTTTTGACCCCAATTTCAGGGTCCACTGAACATAGAAAATGATAGTGCGAGTGGGGCATCCGTGTACTATGGACACATTCTTGTTATTGATAAATTTTTAAATGCATTAATATTCAGTTGATGACAGCTTTCAAAAAAAACACTCGCACTTACCTTCATAACTTTATAATTGTCTTAAATAAAGTTGAATAAAGATCTCTTTATATAAATAAAAAACTTTTCAAAAAAATTTTTTATCATTATAAAATATGGATAGATTAAATGATAAATAGACTGGTTGATTAATATCATTAATTGAGGCTATTTATAACTGTTTGAAGTGACTTAAATGTTCAAAATCATGTTATTTGGTTTCTATAAAACTATAAATAGTAGCACAATATTTCAGACCACAATTTGCTGCTGCAGCAATTTTTAATGAACTGTTTTATGTGTCTTTAGATTTTACAGCTGCTACCTTTGCCAAAGGGGATAAAAGAAGTTGGACCAGCTTTGACATAAACAGTTTAAAAGCCTCACTCCAGAGCAATTTAGATATATCGTTCTTTTTTCGTACCAGGGAAACACAAGGTCTTATGATGTTTTTAGGAGATCAAGGGTCTACATATGTTACATTAGAGTTGTACCAAGGATACATCTTAAGTCGATTGGTATTGTGCAGTTTTCGTCAAGCGTTCTATATTAATGAGACTATGTTTAATAATGGTGCTCAGCATTTCACAAGAGTTAAATTGAAGGACAATATGTTTACTCTGAATATCGACACATTCTCCGTGAATGACACTGTGTCATTAGCCCAGTGTCCATTTAATGCAGAATACTTGTACGTCGGTGGGGAAATTCCCAAAAACTTTGCAGCTGGAAGAAGAAAAAGGACAGCGGATTTCACAATTAGTATGGACGATATATCTAGTTTAACATCTGTTGGCAGATACAAAGGAACAATACAAGATATTGAATTGATCAATCAGAAATTACTGTTTTATCCAGAAGTTGACATACCAAGCATTAATGCTATTAATGTCTCCAGTCTTGAGGAAGGGGAAGTCACAGATGATATCTGTAATAGTTTTCCTTGTGATAACAATGGAACTTGTACCAATGTATTTTTCAATGATTTCCAGTAAGTTTTCTTATATCTTATTTTTCTAAATTCCTGTTGGAAATATTTTACATATTCGTACGTTAAGTTTTTTTTTCTTTAAAATATTACTATTATTATAATTGTTTATTTTTTTGTTATGGTAACTGTTTATTGGATATGTATTTAATCGTTGCCATTTGTCATTCGGCCACATCTTTTTAGAAAGTCTTGGGATATATTTGGAGTCATGTTTGATTGCTATAGGAATGTACGAAAAAGACCCTTTTAACCAAAGAATGATATTATAAAGATCATCTTTTTACATCTTGAACTTTAACATAACAAAGAAATATGAAGTTATCTAATAAAACACATCGGATATTGACAGATGATAATAAGCCATTATTATGTAAAATATCAGTAATTATATTATGAATTTTGTCATACATTTTCCCATGAACTATGATTTTAGCGTTATCATTAATATTCAGATATGACTGTCTTTGCCCAAGTAGAAATTTTTGCCACAAGATGACTTAATATACAAAGAAGTGTGTAAATATGAGTCAAATGTCTTTTTGTGGAAGGCTATTTTTGTTAAATATGCTAATCTTGACATGCTTGTGACAATTTACAGGTATGCAAAAATGAAATTTGTCCAGATTAGTCAATATAATACTATTCATTAACTTAATTTTGAAAGGATTGAGATATCTTACTATGATCTCTAAAATACTGGGGGCATAAAGTTAGCATTTATTAAGCCCCTCCTTCGTAATTATTTTTGGAGTAATTTTTAGCAAGTTAATGATATCCACATTAGGCATTAAAAAAGGACTTTTAAAATAGGTCCAATGTCAAGAATAGGTCCTCCGAATCAATTGGAGTTAGATATTGATATGTTTGAATGGTCTGTATCAAGAGTCCTACAAATCATCAGTAGGCAACATATAAAGGAGTACTGGTAGTTGGGTATATGTCAATGAGACAGCAATCTAACAACATCAAAGACATGAAAGACATTAAGAGGCTATAATACTATAGACAAGCATCTATACCATATGCCACACTATGAATGATAAGGTGTTTTTTTTAATTTTTTTTTTATCTGAGATCAGTTTTTGGTAAAGTCCCTATGATCAACTTTATGCCTGAGAAATAAATTGACTTAAGGGTAGCTATAAGGGAATGATGGATTGTTCTTAAATGTAAAATAGAACTGGTGTAAATATACAAAATGTATTTCTTTAGACATCGTCATACAAAAGAATATTATTCTTTATTTATGTTTTTTGTTTTTTCAGTTGTGTTTGTCCCCATGGATTCATTGGTAAAAACTGTAGTGAATTGGATTTCTGTAAAGATCATTCCTGTCCGGTTGGAGCAGATTGTAACACTTTACCTGACGGCTTTGAATGTGAGTTTTTCTACAATTATTGTTATATACTGAATATATATCAGAGTTATCTCCCATTGACTGTAGTATGATTTTTTTTCAATAATTTTAAATCATATGTGATAATTTTCAGAAATTCAAACATAAAATATTTTATCTGAAATTCATTTTTTTATGTTTTTGAGATAAACTTATGGGTACAAAAAATTATCAAAGTAACTTTTTTTTTATCTTTTAGGTATTAGTACTGCCACATTAACAGGAAACAAAGATGCCCCTTCTATCATTTCCTATGAAAAACATATAAAGTCTGATTACAAGATTCACGAAATTTCTTTGAAATTAAGAACTATTGTTAGAAATGGTCATATATTGCTAATCAAAAATGAAAATGGTCTGTATATTAGAATTGAGCTTATTGGAGCCAATGTTGTGGTTACATGCAAGTTAGATAATACAGAAGAACAGAAAGTCATGGTGGATTTACTAATAAGTGATAAATCTTGGTATATGGTTTCCCTAACTGAAAAGGACAAAGACCTGACACTAACTGTCAAGGGAGACAATCAAGAAGCTACAAATACCACTGTGGTGTCAGCTAATGCTATTTCACTTCAGACCTTGATTAATTATGGAACATCTTCACCATCTATAGTGCTTGGATTTACAGATTTATTTTCACCATTGGCACACCACTATTACAGTGGATGTCTGAAAGAAGTCAGAATTGGGGGTATACTTTTACCATTTTATCAGCAATCCTCTTTCACCAATTTCACAACGGAGCAATATTTTTCGGTCAAGAACAAAGCAAATCTTCAAGATGGTTGTGAAGGTGGTACTGGTTGTAAGGACAATCAATGTAAACATGGAACTGCCTGTGTGGCAGGTTACTATGGTTACCAGTGTAATTGTACAGGAAGTGGTTACTATGGTGATTGGTGTCAGACTAATGTTGATGATTGTGAAGTAGGAATATGCTATGACAATTATAATCAAGGGAAATGTGTTGACAAGATCAATGACTTCTATTGTAAATGTAGAGCTGGTTATACAGGAACAAGGTATGTTTTATAGAGATGTCACAGTCCCTGTACTAGAAGGGGATTCCATCTTACTTTTTAATGCTAGTTTTACACTGTTATGACAATTTTCCAGGGTTTTTGTAAATACTTTTACTGTGGATTCATTTATTTTCGTGGATTGAGGAAAACTTGCATTTTTGTGGATACTTGATTTCGTGGTTTTACCAATTTCTGCATACATAACCTATGAAAAATTTGTAATTCTTTGGACATTTGATTTCATGGTTCACTTATACCCATGAAACCTACAAAAATTGGTATTCAAAGTATAATAATGAATCCACAGTATGCAAAATGATAATGAATCCACAGTATGCAAATGATAATGAATCCACAGTATGCAAAATGATAATGAATCCACAGTACCCATCAGAATCTTTGTTATAATGATAAAGGAGTAGGCCCGGTAAGACCCCTTTTTGGCCCCAAACAGTAGCATTTTTACAAATTTGTTGAAATGTAAACTTTTAGCTATTTATTAGAAAGTAGAATACTTTGGTTCCATAAATATAGGCTGTTTTTGACAATACAATTCACATGCATCAGGTAATAGCATAATAAATTCATGCAAAAGTACTGATATCTTCACAATTTTAGCATTTGTGCTAATTTTGAGACGGTTTTTGTCTAAAATGGAAGTGGCCCCATTTGTGTTCAGTCTTAATATTTAAATATATGTTGTATTTGATGATAAAACATAACATATATAAAGGTTGAGACTGAACACGAATGTGGCCACTTTCATTTTAGACAAAACCATCTGAAAAGTGACATTTTATGGCATATTTGATAGATATTTCATAATTAAGCTTGAATTTGAGGGTCTTTAATGCCCAAATCAGTTCAAATCTTCTACAAAACTAATTGAATCGACTTAAGTAGACACTTAAGTGTTTAAAAAATTTTAAAAATCTTTCATCTAATGTATTTCAAATTTTAGGCCAAAACTAGCCCTTAGCAGACCTTCTCCTTTGTGAGAAATAACCACAAGTCCCTAAATATTTGATACAACACGGATTTTAGTCAAGTTTATTCTTTTCTTTGTTGCCATGTTTAATAAAATTTATGTTGCAAAAATTTGTGTTAATTAACAGAAAATTAAATCTTTGAATGGCACTTTTAAATTTCCTTCTAAATTCAATACTTAATAAACGAAATACTGAGTTTTTAGACATTTTCATGAGTTAAAATTATTATCTTGAAACAAGATCAATTTTGATTTAATTAACATGATTTAGAAAAAATTTCAACCCAAAGTTTTGTTAAATTTCTCAACTTGAACAATCCAAGAAGGGAATATTTAGACTTAAGTTAAATAAGATTAAATGTTTTACACTCTACCTACACTTATACCACACTCTAGGCTATATTCAGATGAGCATCCAGGATTTGATGTTAAGGGGACGCATCTGAGAATTGGGAGTTAGAAGACAATATTTTGACCAAAAAAAGGCTGTAATTTCATCTATAAATAACTTTTTTTTCTCTTTTTAAGGGGCATATGCCAGTGCGTCCCTGTCTGAATCAGCGGCTCTTTTCCCAAAAAAATCTGAAGAGTGAAAATACTCATTTCAGTATAACTTACGATCGATTTTAATCGTAAGATTTTTTGTGAAAAGAGTCGCCGCACCTGATATTGCAATCTCCTTATCCCTCCATTCATTCTTCTGTCCATCAATTCATTCGTCTAACAATATACCCTTTTTAAATTCATTACTTTTATATTCTTTCCTTTATGGGGAGGACATACTGCTTATAAAAAGCCTATCCTTTGACTCTTTCTACCAATATATAAGGTTTTAAGTTTTTTACTTCCAGCATGTACTATCCTAATTTGAGTCTTTACAAAATTTAACATGCACCAATATATATGATAGCACTTTCTTTGTCCTATTATATATATGCAGAGAATTTTAGATAATGATTTATTTTTTATTTTGTGAATATCCCTCCCATTTTTATAGTTTAACTGATTATACAACATTTGTGTTGACCATGTGCAAACAAACCTGAAGATTATAGGAGTACCTGTAAACAAATTTACAGTATTATTTGTTTGCTTGATTTATTATGTGTAAACAGAATCTTTAAATTATTTATATAATCGTTTAACTACTTAACCATGTTAGGCAAGACCTGACATTTTATGATTAATTTGGGTACGTTTTAATATAATGAGAGTTTACTCTATTCTAGCCGGTAGCAATGTTAAGTTACAATAAGGAAGTAAAAAAAAAAAACACAAAAGAATATTTATGCAACAGGAAAATAATTAATTTGCAATAAATATGATGAAGATTACTATTTTACAAAGAGAGGCCATTCTTGTAGTTTGTCGAAATTTACTTGTTAATTCGGTTTCACTCTTAGTTCAAACTCGTGCTGTTTTTTTTAAATTCTCTTATTGATTTCAGGAGGTCTTTTTGTATTATCTTGAATGAACTTGACCTTTGTGTATGTAGTAAGTTTTCCCGTATGAAAGATAAGTTGTTTTGTGATATCTGCTGTGAAATTGTTTATGCATATCCATGTTGTGATGTCCATTAATGTCACAATATGACTTAGAAGTTGCATGAGGTTGCTTCCTATTGTTATGTATGATGTCAATTTTAGGTTAAGGTTTCTGGTCACATCAACTTGATACATAGTTCACATGTTCATTACGAAATTGAACTATTTAAATTATATGCCAATTGACTGCTTGGTCGAAATTTCATGGTTCTTTTAATAAAGTACTACAGTGTTGTTATGTCCTATTGACACAGATTCTTCAATCATGAGTTGCTTCCCTTTATTGTTTGATTTCCAGTCAGTTTTAAATCCTATTTCATTAGTTTGATAGGTTAAATCTGATTGAGTTAAGGTTGTTAGTTCTGATAGTATAAGGGAAAGATAACATAAGCTATTTATATGTGAGACAGATAAATTTAAATAGATAAAAGTAGATGATTGATAGGTCTCTTATATAAGTCTTTCTTAAGAAGATAAGAAACAAAAAATGTTGACAATGTTTTCTTCATTGATTCTGTGAATGAGATGATACAGTACTTATTTTTGTAAAGAAAATGTCCTTTTATGTCATGAACACAAGAAAGGATATTATATAAATTATTGATCGATTGTCGGTTGCTTAACGTCCAGTGGCAAATATTTCATGCATGTTCAGGATGAGAACAAGTTAATAATAAGTCCAATAGGTAGGCCCTGTAATAGTGGCCGTCCAGGATGAAGTTTGGGGAAATTTTGACTTCCACTGGAAAATGAGGGTATATTGGATAGAGACAGAAATTTTGCCTTGCAACAGTCCACCCTACAGATCCTTATATAAATTCAGTAATAGGTATACTGTAGAAATTTTAATAGAAATCATATGAAACATCTTTGGCAAGTGTCAAAGTACTAAAATAAAAAAAAATATATATATAACCATTTTGAGAAGTATATCATGTGAAGCGAACACTATTCCAAATATTCCAGTGAACACATAACCAGTCCTAACAATTAATGTACACTTGAGTACTTTTGAATGACATATGACAATGTATGAAAATAAAAGTATAATAGGACATATTAACATACTGGAGGACATATATAGCTTCTCTTCTCTTTTGACATATTTTTCTTTCAACTAGCTGTGACACATAAACGTGTTAAGAAATTTTTTGGCACTGCTCTTTGCATTCATACATGCAAGGTTTTCATAAACTCAAGGATGTTTTCTGTTTGGATAGACTGGCATACTGTGTAACTGACCTTTCAACTCACTTTACCTGTTAAAATAGTGTAATTTTTTTATTTATAAGTTCATTGATTGTGAAAAGAGTTTTTATATTTTTTGTGCGAACGAACATAAAAGAAGATGAGATTGAGAAGACTTATAAAAGAATTAAGTCAATTGTAGCTTGAAGTCAGTAGATGCACAACTTTTATATCAGTAAATCAATATTATGATTAAATGTGTTAACACCTGGTGAAAGATGGATTGTCCTTTTATATGATGTAGGTGTTATTGCATCTAGCAAATGCAAGAAGAAAAAAAAATCATTAGATAAAATGTAGGCTGCTTGATATGTGACCATCAAATTTATTAATCCAGGGAGTGGTGATATTTACAAAACTTGCATATATTGCAGTACTATGCATTGGCTCTGCATTAATGTTTGAACTTGGATTTTATAAATAAAATTTCTAGAAAATAGGTGTCATCAGCATTGATAGTATTTGTTTCCTAGAAAATAATACTACAATTCATATTCATAAACTAAAATGGAAAAGTTTTTCATGATTGACATAGTTACTTAACTTTACGAATTTCATTTACCCTGGTAGTGTTATCTTGGAAGGTCAAAATATTTGAGACCTTTTGAAATATCATTAGGACTTTAAATATCATGGTGATAGGGTATTACAATGAACCGTTTAATAGATTTATGAGGAAATAAATTGGCTAAAGGATTTGTGATAGATGGAATTAATTATGTAGCATTTTCCATGGTTTATTGTTCAGAACATAGAAATATTGAAATCTTGATATTCTTTGAGACCAATTAGAATAATTTCTTTTTGCAACAGGTTCGTAAATGATTGAGTATTAACCTGGCTACATAATGCCTTTAGGATTGCTATATGAACCACCTTGGTACAGTTTATTGATGAAATGCTAGAATGTCTTAAATAATAAGCATTTGATTTCGTACTAATTAGATATATATATAGTCTACCAGAATGAGAAATGTCATTTGGAATACTGACAGATACAAATTACACTTCGAAAACATCAAAAGATGACAACTGTTCAAGTTATATGTGGATTATCTGTTGTATATCTTTTATTATTGTTACTTTCCATTCCAAGTTGTTCGACTGAAGAAGCAGGATGTGACCCATCATGCCAGAATAATGGTTCCTGTCAACAGAATAAATGTCAATGTGGAACATCATTTGTAGGACAATCTTGTGAAGTTTCGGTAAGCTAATGTTTAAATGATAGTAGTACATGTAGTAGAATTAGAACTTCTAAATTGGAACAAGTATATGATTCTTTGTAACAATTTAAATTGAACCAACCCAATTTTATTCAAACGTTGTAGTTTGTGTATTTTGATAATCTTTACCTGATATAAGCAAAATCAGAAAATAATTTTGAGACTGTCACTATATAATTTAGATAAAGATATCGTATAGGTATGCCTCACTGTAGGTGAAATGAAGTTTCAGCATTTGTGCATCCATCCTATTTATTAAACTTGCTAAGTTGTCTTAATTAGGAAATTATATGAGATTCAGACACAAGTTTAGGAACCTATTTAGTAAACACAGGCCATGTTTGAAAATGATTTAATTTCAGAACCATTAAAACAAGAAAAGTGTTAAATTAATCTTTTTCTATTTTGTGACCAACTTTGACTTTGATATAATATCTCATATGTATTTTTTGTAGTAATAGCTCTTAAATGATAGAAATATGCAAGTTTGAAGTTTTTTTCCCCCAAGAACTCAATTAAGGTAACCATATTAGTAGGTTTTTGATGAGGACTAATATTGAAAAGATAAGGAGTTTAATTGACGTATTTCTGTTAATTTACACCTGATTTCTGCATTTTGATGAAAAGCATTTTTTGAAGTTTCTGCTACCTAAAGTTAACCTTAACCAAATCATTTGACACCAGTTCATGTTTAAGTTGATTTTATTCCTCTAATGTCATAAATCTTCTCCGTTAAATAACTTGAATTTGCTTTAACCAAATCTTTAACACCAAGTTAGGGACTTCTTAGCATACCTTAGTCTTGCCATTTGTCAAATGGTGTGTTCAGGTGCATCCATGCTTTTCGGACACATTCTTGATTTTTTTTTAGACTAAATAACAAATCTAAAATGCAAACCAATATCTACCAAATTTTCACTGACTTAAATAAAATCTATAAATATAACACTATAGGTGTTAAAAGAATAGCAATGAATGAAACAATATTAATTTTGTAAAATCTTTGTTTTAGAATTAGTACATTTGTAATAATCATTTATTTTGTATATACACAGGCAACAGCAACATGTTCAGATATACCATGCAAAAGTAGTGGTCAGTGTCGTGATTTAACAGGGGTATGTATATCAATCTTTCTGAAACAAGAAAATATGCTGTCTCATTGAAATATATACCCCACATCTACTTTGATTCATATTTCATAAAAATTTTGTCCCTAAGTCGTTAGTTCGTAATTTTTAAAATTAGTAAAATCATTTTCCGAAAGCTCATGTAACATATTTTTTCAAAGTCATGTTATATGTTTTTTTATGAGGATGGAAATTGAATTAGAAACATATTGCTTTCACACGATTTTAATAAAGACCACATATAAAAACGCTATATATATAATTTATCTCTGTTGTCAAAGATTATTGCAGTTATAGATATGATATGATGAAAAAACAAAATTTATGTGATTTTCTTAACTCCTTCATGCAATAGTTGAAAATGATATAAATGTGGAATACAACTTTTTTTATTAAAGTAAATTAATAAAAGAATTAGTTATCTCCCTTTTTCTTCAACTGAACCTGCAAAATTTTAATTGATTTTAAAAGCAATTAACATCAGAACATACATGTAAGATATTACTAAATAAAAATCTATTAAGACATTATGACAGTATAATAATTCTATGTTAACTCCTAATTTTCAGTCAACACCAAGTTTTAACTGTACTTGTCCCAGTGGATACAGTGGATATTTATGTGAAAAGTCAATAGATTACTGTGAAGATCTGCCTTGTGAAAATGGTGGCAATTGTACATCAATGAACAATGATTACCAGTGTGTTTGTCCACCAGGTAAACAAATAAATCTTTCTGTCTTCATTCATACCTCCTCTTGTGAAAATCATCTAATGAAATGTTTTATTGTGAGTTTCAACCATTTATTACCATTTGTCATCTGTAATGGTTAACTTTTAAATACTCAGATCTGTCAACTTTCACAATAATGGGGGTATTCCCCTATGAGAGGTGTTGGCCTGAATGTATGAACTGAATACCTTTAAAAGGGCATTCAAATGAGTTAAAGGGGTATTTAAGCACATACATACTCATTAAAACAATATAGTAGTAGATTAACTCTTTTATGACAATTATAAGAGGAGCATTAGGTCCTATTGTGCTTAACATCCCCTATGGAGATTTTGAAAAGTTGTCAGGTATGAATACTTAAAAAAAATATAAAGGCACTATTAACACTTATGATATTAAGGTTAAAAACTACATCTGAAAGGCTGTGCAGGCTATATTACAACACTTGGCTCTATGACTACTGTAAAATAGTTATTTTCTTAGAGTCAAAATTTCACAATTTCTGATGCCAAATACATTCACGATGATTTAATTTCACATTTTTCTTGACTTTTTTTTTATACATGAGGTATATTTTCACAATTTTTATCTTATTGCTAAATTAGCGAAATAAATCCCTTGATACATTTCCCATTTTACAGTAAATATAGACCCTAGCCATGAGCATGTTAGTTGTGAAATGAACATACATTAGTGGTTAAATGGTAATTTTCAGGGCTATTAAATTGGGAAAACAGTTAGTTACTTTAACACTAATAGCTGGTTCAATGTGTACTACAGATTGTACTCCAGTGTTGTATCAATTGTTGCTTATGTTCCTGATAATTTTTAATTGAAGTCTTGTTTCGTTTTGCATAACTTCAATTTTGAGTGTGGCATTGGTGGCCAAGTGGTCTAAGAAGTCGAACTATTATATCACTAGCCTGTCAACACTGAAGTGGTCAGTGGTTCTCTCCAGGGACTAAAGCTTCCTCCACCAATGAAAACTTACCGCCACGAAATAGCACAATAGTGCTGAAAGTGGCATTAAACAACAATAAATCAATCAATTTTGAGACTTATCTTTTATAGGATATTCTGGTAAGAACTGTACAGTGGACACTGATAACTGCATTCCAGGCACCTGTCAGAATGGTGGTACATGTATAGATATGGTAAATGACTACATATGTAACTGCACGGATAGTAAGTAAAATTTGTTTACATACATGTCAATATGCGTATTTTTGAAAATTTTTGAAATATTGCGATTGGTTTTGTCATGAGACTCTAATGGGATACTGGTATTGTACTGTAGTACATCAACAGTATATTGACTTGAAGCATCATGCAATTTTTTAAAAATTTTTTTTTCATAAATAATTCCAAAATAATTTACTTAATGTTTAGAAAACACTGAAAATTGACAGAGGTGGAATAAATGTAAAGCATCATCATTAAAATATTTAAATACTCAATATCCTCATGTAACATATACTTTCAATATTGTATTGAATTTTACAGGCTGGCAAGGAAAACATTGTCAGGATGATGTTGATGAATGTGAATCACAACCTTGCCAGAGAGGAAAATGTAAAAATATACCAGGATCATTTACCTGTGACTGCTATGAAACAGGATACACAGGTAATTACTGTGGGTGGTTAGAGGACAAGAAAGGGGGGGATATAATTTTTCTATGATTATACTGGTACAGGATAGAGAGGTAATAATTTCTGGGTGTGTTATTAGGACAGACGTGGTCGGGTCTTCTTTCCATTAAGCAAGATGAACACTAAATAGAAAACTTGTTGAAATTATACATATATATTCATGAAGGCTGATTTTTGTCGAGCCTGCGACTTTTGTCGCAGAAAGCTCGACATAGGGATAGTGATCCGGCGGCGGCGTTAGCTAACTTCTTAAAAGCTTTATATTTTAGAAGGTGGAAGGTCTGGATGCTTCATACTTTGTATATGGATGCCTCATGTTACGAAGTTTCCGTCAGTCACATGTCCAATGTCCTTGACCTCATTTTCATGGTTCAGTGACTACTTGAAAAAAAAGTTAAGATTTTTTGTAATGTTAGATTCTCTCTTATTATAAGTAATAGGATAACTATATTTGGTATGTGCGTACCTTGCAAGGTCCTCATGCCCGTCAGACAGTTTTCACTTGACCTCGACCTCATTTCATGGATCAGTGAACAAGGTTAAGTTTTGGTGGTCAAGTCCATATCTCAGATACTATAAGCAATAGGTCTAGTATATTCGGTGTATGGAAGGACTGTAAGGTGTACATGTCCAACTGGCAGGTGTCATCTGTCCTTGACCTCATTTTCATGGTTCAGTGGTTATAGTTAAGTTTTTGTGTTTTAGTCTGTTTTTTGTCGAGCCTGCGACTTTTGTCGCAGAAAGCTCGACATAGGGATAGCGATCCGGCGGCGGCGGCGGCGTTAGCTAACTTCTTAAAAGCTTTATATTTTAGAAGGTGGAAGACCTGGATGCTTCATACTTTGTATATGGATGCCTCATGTTACGAAGTTTCCGTCAGTCACATGTCCAATTTCCTTGACCTCATTTTCATGGTTCAGTGACTACTTGAAAAAAAAGTTCAGATTATTTGTAATGTTAAATTCTCTCTTATTATAAGTAATAGGATAACTATATTTAGTATGTGCGTACCTTGCAAGGTCCTCATGCCTGTCAGACAGTTTTCACTTGACCTCGACCTCATTTCATGGATCAGTGAACAAGGTTAAGTTTTGGTGGTCAAGTCCATATCTCAGATACTATAAGCAATAGGTCTAGTATATTTGGTGTATGGAAGGACTGTAAGGTGTACATGTCCAACTGGCAGGTGTCATCTGACCTTGACCTCATTTTCATGGTTCAGTGGTTATAGTTAAGTTTTTGTGTTTTGGTCTGTTTTTCTTATACTGTATGCAATAGGTCTATTATATTTGGTGTATGGAATGATTGTAAGGTGTACATGTCCAACTGGCAGGTGTCATCTGACCTTGACCTCATTTTCATGGTTCAGTGGTTATAGTTAAGTTTTTGTGTTTTGGTCTGTTTTTCTTATACTGTATGCAATAGGTCTATTATATTTGGTGTATGGAATGATTGTAAGGTGTACATGTCCAACTGGCAGGTGTCATCTGACCTTGACCTCATTTTCATGGTTCAGTGGTTATAGTTAAGTTTTTGTGTTTTGGTCCGTTTTTCTTATACTGTATGCAATAGGTCTATTATATTTGGTGTATGGAATGATTGTAAGGTGTACATGTCCAACTGGCAGGTGTCATCTGACCTTGACCTCATTTTCATGGTTCAGTGGTTATAGTTAAGTTTTTGTGTTTTGGTCCGTTTTTCTTATACTTTATCCAATAGGTCTACTATATTTGGTGTATGGAATGATTGTAAGGTGTACATGTCCAACTGCCAGGTGTCATCTGACTTTGACCTCATTTTCATGGTTCAGTGGTCAAAGTTAAGTTTTTGAGTTTTGGTCTTTTTTCTTATACTATTATGCAATAAGTCAACTATATTTGGTGTATGGAAATATTCTATGATGTACATGTCAGTCTCGCAGGTTTTATTTGACCTTGACCTCATTTTCACAGTTCATTGCTCAGTGTTAAGTTTATGTGTTTCAGTCTGTTTTTCTTAAACTATAAGCAATAGGTCAGCTATATTTGTTGTATGGAAGGATTGTAAGCTGTTCATGTCTGCCTGGCATGGTTCATCTGACTTTGACCTCATTTTCACGATTCATTGGTCAATGTTTAGTTTTCTTGGTTAAGTCTGTTTCTTAGAAACTATAAGCAATAGGTCAACTATATTTAGTGTATTGAATGATTGTAAGGTGTACATGTATTTCTTGTTTGGTTTATATGACCTTGACTTCATTTTCTTGGATCATGTTAAGTTTATGTAATAGTTGTAGTAAAGCTTTTATTTAGGACTATCAACATAATATCAATGGTTAGTAAAGAAGGCGAGACATTTCAGCGTGTCCACTCTTGTCTTATACTGTATGCCATAGGTCTACTATATTTGGTGTATGGAATGATTGTAAGGTGTACATGTCTAGCGGGCAGGTGTCATCTGACCTTGACCTCATTTTCATGGTTCAGTGGTCAAAGTTAAGTTTTTGAGTTTTGGTCTTTTTTTCTAATACTATATGCAATAGTTCAACTATATTTGGTATGTGCGTACCTTGCAAGGTCCTCATGCCCGTCACACAGTTTTCACTTGACCTCGACCTCATTTCATGGATCAATGAACAAGGTTAAGTTTTGGTGGTCAAGTCCATATCTCAGATACTATAAGCAATAGGTCTAGTATATTCGGTGTATGGAAGGACTGTAAGGTGTACATGTCCAACTGGCAGGTGTCATCTGACCTTGACCTCATTTTCATGGTTCAGTGGTTATAGTTAAGTTTTTGTGTTTTAGTCTGTTTTTCTTATACTGTATGCCATAGGTCTACTATATTTGGTGTATGGAATGATTGTAAGGTGTACATGTCTAGCGGGTAGGTGTCTTCTGACCTTGACCTCATTTTCATGGTTCAGTGGTCAAAGTTAAGTTTTTGAGTTTTGGTCTTTTTTTCTAATACTATATGCAATAGGTCATCTATATTTGGTGTATGGAAATATTTTATGATGTACCTGTCAGTCTTGCAGGTTTTATTTGACCTTGACCTCATTTTCATGGTTCATTGCTCAGTGTTAAGTTTTTGTGTTTTGGTCTGTTTTTCTAATACTTTAAGCAATAGGTCAACTATATTTGTTGTATGGAAGGATTGCAAGCTGTAGTACATGTCTGCCTGGCATTGTTCATCTGACCTTGACCTCATTTTCTTGGTTCATTGGTCAATGTTTAGTTTTCTTGGTTAAGTCTGTATCTTAGAAACTATAAACAATAGGTCAACTATATTTAGTGTATTGAATGATTGTAAGGTGTACATGTATTTCTTGTTTGGTTTATATGACCTTGACCTCATTTTCTTGGATCATGTTAAGTGTATGTGATAGTTGTATTAAAGCTTTATATTTAGGACTATCAACATAATATCAATGATTAGTAAAGAAGGCGAGACATTTCAGCGTGTGCACTCTTGTTAAAAAACTGTCTGTATACTCCTTGCACATATTAAGGGCAAAATGAACATACATTAGTGGTAATAATTTTCAGGGCTAATAAATTCCACAATAGTAGATGGGCAATATTTTTCTGGTCTCTGCATCAGTTCCATACCAGGTATAGTTTTTTGCTAAGGTAGTTAATAATGAAATTGTGGTCATATCAACTTGAATCTTCATTTATTATACTTAAAGTTGTGTTTTACTATCATTCATTTATTCATTCATCCATTCATCCATCCATCCATCCATCCATCCATTTATTGGCAGATATTCAGAAAAAAAAACTTTACTTTATACCATCAAAGTCAACATTATCAGTTTGCCGGATAATAAGGTTTATATTTTACTAATTTTAGACAAGTATTGTAATGTGGACCTGAATGAATGTGAATTATCACCATGTCAAAACGCTGGAAAATGTACAAACTATGAAGGAGATTACAATTGTTCATGTACCCTGGGGTACGAGGGTAAAAACTGCAGTAACCCTAACTGTGCACTTGTTACTTGTGAAAATGGAGGAAGCTGTGGAATAGCTAACAACCAATGGAAATGTTCATGTCAGCAGTATTATTTTGGTAAGTTGATATTTTTTATTAAAATACTGTAATTTTTGTAAACAACAAAATTTTCTTGCTGTGTTTTGCAGAATACCATTTAGATATTTTATTTCGTGTTTACTTGTTTGTGTATATAAAAGAAGTAAAAATCTTGTAACATCCAAAAACAGATTTGTTTTTGAAGATGGTTGATTTCCACTTTCTACCTCTCCAATGTAGCCCCTCCTTGAAAAAAAAACCAACAAAACTTAAAACTTATGGGCAAAAGTTTTCCAGTTTATGGTAGTTGTGACTTATCTCCCCTTTTAGTAGAATACTCTTGTTTATCTCGTTCCAAAAATAAACAAAAAAGTTGTATTTCAATTTTAAATATTTAAACTTTTCACTTAAATATGGAAACAAAACAATACAAGACTTGTACTTAATTTACCAAGAAATTGCTGAAAATTAAAAAGTAGAAATAAATTGACATATCGTGATTTGATTTAATTTTATACTAAAACATATGTAGCATTTGACAGCTGTCTGAAATACTTGATATCAATAATGAACAATTACTTTCCTATTGATTTACTTGGAAACCTTGGAATTATTGTCCATTAAAGGAAATATCTATAGAATATATCATTATCATTGTTGACAAAATGATCATAAGGATATTTTGGAAATTGGAAATCTTGTAAACTTAGTAAGTGATATAAATTTACAGATTTTTTTAGTCTTTAGTAACATTTTTTCCTCACCGACATTTTTTACCTTGCGGTTCATGCAGGTTTTCCTTTAAAATAAATGTTTTCTAGTGGCCAAAACGTCTTAAAAATGGTTTAATTATTACGATAAAATAAATGTTGTGACAAGTAGTGAAATTTAAGTTAGTAAAATTTTTATGATTATATATTTGATGATCTCTAAGATGTTAAACTTTGATGTAACAATAAATTGCTCCTGACTGAATCCTTCATTCTAATTTATATGAGAGTCCTGATTCTATATTAAGTGATTGATGTTGCACAGAGAATTGTCCTTTGTAGTGCATTAAGGAAACAACAACAATCAATCAATCTTTTGTAGTAAGGTTTATTGCTGGTGTCATACAATCAACAATAATTTCTTTAAACTATAAATGGGACTGACTATAAATAGCTTTCTATAATTCTCAGGCAAATCTTTTTTATTGTGGATAATCCTTTTACTTGGTTGACCGAGTACAGTACACGTTTTTACCTGTGTCTACCTGTGCTTTGATGTAGATTTATCTCGTTAACTACTCAGGTGTAAAAGGTATTACATAGACATACAGTTTTGATGAGTAACATATCGTTATCATAAAAGGCCATATATGGAACATATGATTTACGTGTTTATGTCTAATGTCAAGTAAGAAAACTTTCACCTTCTTCACACATTTAAATCAAAGTTATTTTTAGCACCTGTAAGGTCATATCTATGATCAGAGTTGTGAATAATTCAATAAGCACTTTTCAAGTTGATAAGGAAATTATAGTAGATGAATGTGTTCCATTTAAATTTGCTGCCAGTTAAACTTTAAATTCAATATACCGGAGGTAATTCAAAGATTCATTTACAAAACTATGTCAACAAAGGATCATTTGTTTAGTGAGACAAATCCTTGAGTCAGCTGTAATGTAAAGAAAAACACACAAATCAGAAAACACAAAGAAACTCCTAAGACTCGGCATTGATACTATTACATTGAAGTAGCAAAGCATGGTATCTTTCACAAAAATGAAAATATCTAACGTTAAAAATAGTTCAAATTAGATAGGGCCATTTCTTATTTTGGGTCCTCAATGCTCTTCTACTTCGTACTTTATTTGGCCTTTTTAATTACCGGTATATGATTAAAGTTACGCTGATGAGTCTTATGTAGATGAAAAGCGAAAAGTATGTCTGCCATACAAAACTTTAATCTTGGTATGTATGATGAGGTTTTTTATAGCAATTTTGGTTGCAACATCTGTAACCATTCCATGTTATTAACTTTATATACAATTTTAATAAAGGCTCTGAAACAGCAAAGCTAGCTGAAAGCAAACTTTCCGTTTTTTTTTCTTTGTCCAATTGCACCGTCTTTCATCAACGATGGCCACTATAGCAAGTGGTCATAATTTTTTTCCTCATCTCTAAAACATTGTCAAAGCAGAACAGTGAAAATAGTATATGTACAGGGCCTAATCTAGGATTTTGGAGAGGGAGAAGTGACTTCTCCTTCCATGAGAGAGAAGGGAGAAGTGGTCAATTTCTTGGAGAAGTGAGATTCCATTACCGTTTCGGTTGCATAGTGTTCTCGTGCTTATCACTAAGGAAATTGTTTTATATGCAAAAAAAATATACTTGCAGTTTTTTCATGTTATTGTACAAAATGTATATGTAGAAAGTTCTTAATAAAACGGTTTAGACAATATAGTTGTTATTAATTCATTGATACCATTTGTACTGTCAACTTGAATTGAAGTTTAAATAAAATGTGTTGCTTGGGACATGAGGGAGTAGCCTAGAAAAATTATTATGATGCATTAAATTCATGTGCATCTGCCTCAATTTATTTTTAAATGTCCAGAAAAATATGACTCCCAGTTTGCCTGATGAATTTCACATGACTAGGAATTTAATTTATATCACCACTTGTCATTATTTTGTAAAACATTATTGAATGTCCAGGACATCATGTTACATGTAGTTGCAAATTGAGATTCTCGTTAAAGATTGTAAGCCTATAAATGAAAATATCTGTCAATCACATATTAATTAACCGATAAAGAGCTAATTTCTATCATTTTTAAAGATATCTTCCCTATCAACGAAATGGTCGTGAAAAAAAATCCACTGCTGATCACAGCGGGTCGTACGTATGCAATCACATTATCCACAAGCTGTCTTTCTACCTTTAATATTTCATTTTCTATTCAACATGTTCAATGAATATAATAAATCTACCGTTCATTCCCACCCTTAACCTACCGAATAGTACAATTTGATCGACTCGTCATAAAAAAAATTAAAACAAATCAGCTGAGTGATTACGCAACATCCTGAGATAAAAATCATTGTAAATGATAACTTTAACAGACGGTCAGTTTTGCGTTTGAATAGTTTTGAATGTTATATCCGAGGATGTTCAAAGTCGCCGTTGTATTTATTAAATTTGATCGTCGACAGTATTAGTCCTGGCCGGGTCGTTTCGAAAATCTCGATTTTCCTTGTCAGGGGGTCTCATTGGGGGGTTCTGATCCCGCATCCCGCTTACTGTTTTGTCAGATTCCCGTATCCCGCTTACACTATGACTATGTACGTTAGCAATTCTCATTTTTTTTTTAATTTCCCGTATCCCGCTAGACATCATTTCCCGTTTTCACGGCACAATAATTTGACTTTCACGTGTCACGCTTACAAAAAATCGGCAATCCCGCGTCAAGCTTAGACCCCAATGAGACCCACTTGTCAGTCGCCATTTTTTTGACCTGGGAGACTTGTAATTCACAAGTTGTCTCCCTTTTACCGATTTTCATAGCGATTTGACTTCGCCATGAAGTCAGTCGGCTGGCGAGATTTAGCGATTTTCAAAATTCTTTGGCGACTTAAATCGTCATTTCGCCGGCAAGATTATGGCCTGTATGTATGGTCTCCTTCCCAAATACTATGGGTTCAATTATTTTCGTGGGTACCAATTCTCGTGGATTGAGGAAAACTTGTATTTTTCGTGGATATTCGATGTCATTGTTTTGCGAGATTCTTCATAGATTTCTATATAAAATTTGTAACTGGTTGAACATTTAAATTCGTGATTCCCATGTACCCAGGAAAACCACTAAAAATTGGTATCCAATAAATAATAATCCACAGTACATGAATATAAGTCAAGTAACATGATTATAAAGTTTGTCTAAATACTGTGTGCATCTTTTTTTTTTTTTAATTGGAAATTTAAAAAAAATTTAATCGGTACTTTTAAAAAATAAAAAAAAATATAATGATAAAATGAGTAAGATATTATTTCTGATTGGACAAATATAAATGATTGTAAAGAACGAATTTTGTATTTTCTTGCTATATCTTGAATATCTGTGTATTATTTACTGTTTAATGTAATGGAAAAATTATGTATCACAATGGAAGGTTAACACAAAAATGTAAAACAAAAGACTATGTTTTCCTCGGAGCGATATGTATACATATGATAGGATCCAGGTAATTAGAGGTGTCCAGTTTGTTTAAAATATTATGTCAAGTGATTATGGGATGTATTTATTTCCCAAATTGTCAAGTACTATTTGTCTGTTACTGGGTAAGTTCAGTTTCATTTTTTAGACATAAACAAAAAAGAAAATTTTTAAAAGTGTTATAAACACAGTTAGCCATTGTATGTAATTATTTGTGAATTTCATGAGTACAAAAACTTTCTTCATCAGTCAATTTTTAAAAGTTATATTATTCCAAAATATCTACAGGATTTTATGACTTTTTTTTCTCATTAAAAAATTGAGATTTTGTAACCCAAACCCCCATTAACCCCACAAAAAATGGCATTAAAATTGAGAAATTATCAAAATTTTTCAATTTTAAACTAACATTTGCCAACTTTACATATTTTCTGTACAGTATAGAATAAGTCATTGAAAACTATAGTTCATTACACAATTTTCAAGATTAATTTCACTGTGAAAAACTAGAATAATTTACCAACAATACTGTTATGTAATTGTGTAATAGTCTTCAAACTGTGTGCATTGATTGTTTTAACAAGTAAATTCACTGATTTTGAGATAACGTTGGATACCTGAATGGCTCCTAGGGGTATGTAGGTGTTCACTGTGACATACAGGAAGTTTATATTGGACATTTTGTCAACTATCTAAGGATATATTTATTTCAGTTTACTATTGTAAGTTGTATTGTTTCTTTTATTGAAATATCTAAAGAAGTAATGAAGTTTATTGCCTTTTATGATAAACTAAATTTATAACTTATTAGTATACTGAAACTTGTGTGAGTCTAAGGATTATAATAAACTTGGGATATATCTTATTGAAGGCATGGAAAAGTAAATAGACAAATAGTTTCAATGTTTTATTGCACAGATTAGCTATCTGATAAATGGTTTGATAAATGTGTTTTAACCATATATTTCAATCTCCAAGCAGTCTTTCCCCATTAGGGTTTCTTATGTATTTAAAATTTTCCAGTTGATCCCAGACAGGATATTTTCTTGTTTATTTCTTGCTTTTATGACAAAAAGAAAGCATATTTTGTAAAGTTAGTTTCCTTGTTTGAATTGTTGTACATTGGTCATTTCTGGGCCTTTTAGAGCTTGATGTGCAGTATGGATTTTGCTCATTGTTGAAGGCTGTATGTTGACCTATAGTTGTTTACTTCTTCATATGGTCCCTGGTGGAGAGTAGTCTAATTAGCAATCATACCAAATCTTCTTATTTTTAATCATTGTTTGTATAAAATAGGAATAAAGGAATAGAAGGTCTTAAACCTAAAATTATTAAAACCACTGAATGTCTAAAAATCCTAAAAATATGTGTAAGAATCTGATGTAACTAAACAGACAATGGAATAATATTTTAACCTTGAAAAGCCGTCAAACTTGGCATTCAAAAGTCAAGGCATTTATTATACCTAAGTATAACTTTATATGCAATAAATTTATGATTTTATAAAATTTATTACTGCATTATTGGACCTCCCTAAGGGAATTACAGTTACATGTCATAAGTAAAGCAAATGAGTAATTGAGAAGTACATACTGATATATTATAACAACATTGCTTAAGGTATGTTATTCTAATTGTAAATGTGTGGGGACTAATGGACAAATCATCATGCTCTCAAAAAATGAATTTACTCAATTTTATGGGGAAGTAGAGATCCCTTAGTATACAGACAAATCACTTCTCACTGAAGAGGGTCAAATCTCAAAATGCTATAATTTTACAACATTTTTAAAAATTCAATTCTTTTTAAAATATATTGTGGTTCAAACTTTTAAAATATTAAAACTATAATATACAAAATATGTACCCATTAACCAGAGGATCAACTGAGAACAGTAAATACTTGTTTACATCCTATCATAATCATTATATGCTGTGGATTGATTATTATTTGTGGGATATTAATTTTCATGGATTTCGTGGTTTAAGTTGAACCACTTAAATTGGTTCCCACGAAAACAAATGTATCCATTGTATTTGTAACTTGCTCAATGCCTTTTCCTATTATTACTTTTTTGATAGTCAAATTAAACTGCTTATATCTTCACATTTAAAAGGAAACAACTGCTGGAGGTACAAGGTCTTTCAAATCATCTAGAGAGTGCCACACTCTCTGCCTGAGAAGAACCCTTGCAACAACTCTTTGAGGGGTCCTAAGGTGGCCTGTTGCCAAGCCAAATTTTGTCCCTTTCCAATTTATCCTCATTTTCCAATGAAAGTCCAAATGTACCTCCCTTCATGCTTGTTGACCCCTATTAAAGAACTTACCTATTATATGTATTGTTAATTTGTTATCGTCCTGAACATGCATAAAATAGTTGCCACTGGACGTTAAGCAATCAGCAATCAATCAATCAAATCATCTAATGTTAGCCTTTGAAGCAATATGATAGAAAGGGTACAAGGGTAAAATGTTCATTCCTACTAAAGGATGTGTTCATCAATACCAATGCATTTACTTAGGTGGTATTCATCAATTTACAATAAATATATCTTTGAAGGAAAAATGTAAACTTGTATAGATATTCATGTCTGCATAGGGTTCTATCTCTGAAAAAAACAACAATTGCATGTTTTGAGAACTTTTAGGTTTAAAAAAACTTCTATAAACAAGGGAAGGCATAAAACAAACTAATATAAAAAATATTTCTGAATGGGGGTTCTATATCTGAAAAAACCTGGTTCACTCAGTAAGCAGGCTTTTTTATTTAACATTTCATGTTTTGAGAACTTTTAGGTCTACCAAGCTTCTATAAAAAGTTGGAAAAAAAACCTAAAATAATTAAACATCAAATTTTAACTGACTTTTACTACATTTTTGTTTTTTTTAATGTCAATTTATTTACTCCCACAATAGTGTTTTGGATTAGTTGAACAATAACTTAGACTATCAGTATAACGATAACCAAAAATAAACTGGTCATACACAGAATGGTTGATTTGTACTTTTACTTTCATTTCCAGAATGAAGATTTGTAAAGCAATAATTTGATAAAATTGTGCCGGTGATTGGTAACCCTAAGCAATCAAAATTCAACTTATAAATTTGTTTGCGAAGGCATACATAAATTTTTATGATTTTACATTGTTCATGTGAACAAAATATATATATTTATATAATACAAGAAGGTAATTTCAGATTTTTATTAAGAAACATAGATTGTATTCAAATTATGTGACATTTTTCCATTTTTATTGTAGGTCAGTTGTGTGAATCTAAAGGAAAGTGTGCTGACAATCCATGCAATCAAAATAATACAGCATACTGCTATCAGGAAGACAAAGAAAACGGATTTTACAACTGTACTTGTAACAGGGGTAGGAACATATTTACTCATTATTTAAAAGACATATTTACAGTATGTATGATAACATGTATTGATCAAAACTGATTATACTTTTGTGTACCGTGGATTCATTTATTTTCAGAGATACCAATTTTCGTGGATATAGGAAAACTTGTATTTTCATGGATATTTGATTTCGTGGATTTACCGAAGTCTTAATTATACAAGCCTTAAGAAAATATACACTTCGTTAACAGTAAATTTTGTGGTTAACCTATTCGCACTAAATCCACGAAAAATTGGTATCCCAAGAATAATAATGAATCAACAGTACCTATTATGATCATCAATATTTTGTGTTTAGTTATAGTAAACATGCAGAAATTCTTTTATATGTCCATCAAATTTGAAACCTTGTTGGTGATTGTCATTGTTCATATCTTTGTGCTGAAAAGTATGAAACATTGCATCTCAACTAGAGGGATTTCAAATGCTTTCAACCTATTATATATCAGATGTTGTCCCCGCTTGCATTATAAAGGGACATAACTCAAGAAAAGTTTAAGTGACTCCACCCAAATTCAAACTTGATCTGTTTTGTGTGGTAATAAGCATTGTGTATAAGTTTAATAACATTTGGTTGAGGCAAACTAAAGTTAGAGAACGGAACTAATTTTGGGACGGACGTACATACGGACAAGGGTAACACTTAATTCCCCCTCTGCTGCGGTTGGAGGGGTTTAGGCATAAAAAATAGTTGGTAGTTCAATCTGATTTAATATGACTATGAATGTTAGCATATTTTAAGTACAAAAATTTTAACAATTTTAAATATATTGCAGGATGGCAAGGTACCCATTGTGATGTTGACATAGATGAATGTCTCCAAGGAATCTGTCAACATTCCAGTACCTGTTCTAACTCACTTGGTGATTACTATTGTGCTTGCACACCTGGTTATATTGACAAGAATTGTTCCACGGATATAAACGAATGTAACTCTCAACCATGTAAAAATGGTGGAAACTGCAGTGATCAAGTCAATGATTTTTACTGTGATTGTAACAATACAGGTAGTTTTAAATCAAAGTGGCATTTTTTACATCTTACTGTGGGTTCATTATTATTTGTGGGAAAACAGTTTAAATGAATTTAATGGATAAAGGTAAACCATGAATTTAAAAAGTAAAATAACAAAAATACCGAACTCCAAGGAAAATTCAAATCAGAAAGTCCCTTATCAAATGGCAAAATCAAAAGCTCAAAAGCTCAAACAAATCAAATTAATGGAAAACAACTGTCATATTCCTGACTTGGTATAGGCATTTCCTTATGTAGAAAATGTTGGATTAAACCTGGTTTTATAGTTAGCTAAACCTCTCACTTGTATGACAGTTGCATAAATTTCCATTATATCGGCAACAATATGTGAACAAAACAAACAGACATAATAGGTAAAAATGTCATGAATAGGGGTACAGTTCAACCAAGTGCAATGTTTTCTAAAGGCTTGTATGCAAATTTGTGCAAAATCAACAATTCAAGCCAGAAAACTAACGGCCTGATAAATAACAAAACAATTTACGACAAATAATGTTACAGACATAAACCAACAACAACCATTGAACTAGTTGATATACTAATGTTTAAATTTGTAAAATTCAACAGAGTAATAAAAGGTCAATGGAACTGAGTCCAGGGAAACAGATTGTGCATATAGGGGGTAAATTAACAAGATTTTCTTGTAAATATTAATTTTTTTGATTTCAAGAATTTGCATGGTAGATGTGGATAGTTTAAATGAAAATTTTTTTCTATTTAAGGTTACATTAATAAAACGTGTGAAGATGATATAGATGAATGTGCCTCAGAAACCTGTGTCAATTCTGTCAGATGTGATAATTCTCCTGGTGACTTCTCCTGTACTTGTATTCCTGGATATGAAGGGAAAAGATGTTCTATAAAGGTATGGTACCAGTATGTTGTAAACAAGACTTGTAATTTGGATAAATAATTTTTTCTGGTTAGGATTAAAAAACTGTGTTCTTAAAACCTGTGATTAAAACCTTCTAGAAGAAATTTTTGGAACCATTGCAAGTGTCCCCCCCAAAAAAACAGATATTCAGCCTAAATCAATGTCACACCTAAAGTTTCCTGATTGCCACCACATATTGGTTTATCATGAGATGTGCCACTGAGACCACCACTAATTATGACGCTGCACACATTTTTATGGGGGAGGGGGTATATTAATAGGTATCACCCTGTCCATACCATTGCCCATCTTTCAATTTCTGTCTGTCCATTTGCCTTATAAGTGCAATTCATTCTAATGGGCTGGATGGATAGTGATGAATGAAACTTTAGACAGTATTAGAACACTACATGAGGATTTCCATAAATGAAAATCATCCCTGCATAATATTATTAAGGGGAGATAATTGAATTTCTAGGGCAGGGGTATACTGTTGTGAGTTAATTCAAGGTCTAAATTTTACTAGATCTGCAATGTATCGGTAGAATAAGCCAGTTGCAATTGATTGGGTAATGTGTAGCAAAGAATGCAACCTTTTTAGAATCTTTAAAACTTTGTATTTCTTTATAGTAATTCACACCTTCATAATACAAATATCTTTGTGAATGAATTACATCATACATCATGTTCAAACCGTGTAAGATATGAAGACAATATTCAAGTTTTTTTTTTTTTTTAAAACAACTGATGAGAGACAATGTTTTGTCTTTTTTGCACAGTTATTGTAACATATATTTATGTTTTTAGGATCCCTTTTACCAAAGAATAAATAATGAAAATGACATTATGTGGTATATCATTGGACCAGTTGTAGCTGTTATACTGATTGCTATTGTTGTTGGTAAGTTTTCTTTAAAATTACAGCTGTTTGTTATTTTGTTTTTATAATGCTATTTTTACTTTACCAGAGGAAAATCTAGTATGTTTTTTTAACTCCCCTGCAAACACAGAAATAAAAATATTCTTTTCTACTGGATGTATATTTCACATGAACATGCAATTCTCCAGATAAAAAATATTAACAATAGAAGTTGATAGGAGAGATTAAATAAAATCTATGATTTGAAATTGTAAACATACAACACAACTGACTAAAATATTCAAACAAACATACAAATAAGCCTTAACAAAGATGCCAACAAAAACGTTTTTGTACTTGATAGTACATTCAGTATATAGTATACACTTTTCTTAACAAGATGAAATCAACATTGTTAGAGCCTCTTGTGTCCAAATCAAAACAATCATCACCTAAACAAGTAGCAGCAAAGGAATGAATTGAGGAGATTTTTTCACACACACATTCACTTAAAAATTGAAATATTAAGAATTGATAATTGTTTAAACTTGCAATAAATGAAATGTCATTCAGATTCAACAAAATTTATGATTTGAAAAAATTCCTGTCACTATTAAACTGACTTGTTTTTTTAACAGTGATAGTTGTGTTTGTGTTATGTGCTCGCAGTAAAAGAGCAACAAGAGGAACATATAGTCCCAGTAGACAAGAAGTTACAGGGTCCAGAGTAGAACTGGGTCAAGTACTTAAACCACCACCAGAAGAAAGGCTTATATGAAGCTTGAATGCAATAGACTTCAATTATGAGATTATATCCCACAGTAATGTGTTGGATTCAGAAAATTTAAAATCAAATGACATTCCAAAGACTGTGAATATGTATACCATAATGTTGGAAAGTATTAAATGTGTTCGTATGACAGTGTGAAGTTTCAGTCGGATGAAATTATTAAGAAATGTCAAGAATGAGGGACAATTATAACTGTTTTTCAAGAAGGAATGGGGCATGACCAGGTATTCATAGTCAGTTCTGATTCAGAATGGTTACAATATATAAACTGACCAATCACAATGAGATGTGAAAGAGAATGTGCCATTCATGTGCCATTCAAAAACATTTTGAATTATTTACTATGCAACCATATTGATTGATTCAAGTTATGTTGATTAAAAGCAGTATTGAAATAAGCTACAGCAAAAAAAAAGTAAAATATAATATTTGGACTCAGTTATTTACAGGAACTCTTGGTAGCCACTATGTTGATAAAAAAGTTTTTACAGCAATACTGTCTCAAACCATATTTCATTTGATGAATTGCACAAATTTGAAACAAAATTTTATAATTCAATACGAAAGGGACTCTTCCTGATGGAAAATTTAAGAAAGTTTGGAATATTCGAAAGAACAAAAACAGTTATATTATAAGGTTTAATTTAAATGAACTATTTGTAAAGAACTTTTTCCCAGTTAATGCAATACATATCAGTTTAGGTTGTAAATTAAATTTATTATATTTTTTTTTTTTTACAGTTTTATGTATATTTAGTCACACAAATAACATATCAATAGGTGTTATTGCCTCCTTTAAATAATAAGTAAATGAGTGGGTAAAGATTGTATAAAATGTATTTATTGCCTTCATTTACCAAAGTGCTAGTCAAGTCACAGCCATTTTATATTGCCAAAAAGGGAAGATATAAATCAAATTTTAAGTTTCATCTTAATTGAATACACAAAAGTGTTTCACCTGACCAGGCATGGCCAATACATCTGTTACCATCTATGAATAGCTTGGTAAAGTGCAACCTTGTTTTTATCGTTCCTTTTTAGATATATTTTGGCGATTAAGATTGGTGAACAGAGAAATTATTTTATATAAGAATTATATGACGACTGGATTTTTTTTTTCTTTGGCTATCATGTTTTTTCAATATATAATGTCAGCATGTATGTAAATTAGAAGGTTAACACTGATCGGTTAATTGCCATTGATTTATTGGAGTAATGCCATATATGTGAATGTATAAAACATCAATCCTATAAGAAAACATTTTGGTTCATATAAAGAAAATATTGCCTTTATAATGTCATTCCTTTTTGGCAATTCAAGTTTATGCATTTTTCTTCATTATTGCTTTAGTTCAAAATTGAAATACATTTTTGAATACAACACAAAATACTCATTGACACTTTCATAATAAGATACAATTCCAATCATTTAAAACATTTCTATGATCACCAATTGTTTGAATTTCAATAAAAAAAGCAATATATTTAAAATGGTTAATATATGTAGTTCATCTTGATTGACAACATATGATGAACTCACTGCTGTAGGCTCCTGTGAATGGTTTGTTGTCATATCATATAAATTAAAAAAGATTACTATTATTTTCATGGGTACAAATTTTTGTGGATGAAGGCAAACTTGCATGTTCATGGATATTTAATTTTGTGGTTTTGCCGAAGTCTGAATACAAGCCTTAAGAAAATTTGTCATTCGTTGAATATTTAATTTTGTGGTGCACATGTTCCCACGAAATCCACGAAAATTGGTATCCAACGAAGAATAATGAATCCACAGTATCACTTAATCTATTATTGTAATGTAAAAGGAACTAAAGATCTATGCTGTGCTTTTGGGGAAAAGATTGTTCTATTAATTTACTGATTTTTTTATTGTCAAACTAGAACTTTTTTGTGCAAACATTTTGTTTATTGTCATCTTTTATTTATCATAGAATGATATCTAAACACAATTTTCCTATTAAACCCTCAATGTTGAAGCTGAGACTAATACATAAGAGAAATATTTTATCTCCATGCAAAATTAATAATGCTATTAGCTCAAATTACAAAGATGAGGCAATTGTTGTTACAATAATATTCTCTGTAAACTCTTCAGTTTTCATAACATAATCAAGGTTAAAGTAATATATCACAACATATCACAGATTAATTATTTGACTGATCCTTTAATAAATATTTATGTTGTCTGTTTAAGGCTTTGCTATGTTAACAAAGATGGACCTTTTCCCTTTTTTAGTGTATTTCTTCTATTGTTAATCAGAATTTGTCCATTATGAAAGAGTAATTTGGTTCCAGTACAGCCATTTTCACTTTATTTCTAAATGAGCAAAATCATTTCTGTTTTAAGGATTAGTGGTACAATGCTTACATTTGTCATCTAACTACTAAATGGAACTTTTTTCAGATGAACTCATATAAACTGCATTCAAAAATGCTTTAGACATTGGGAATTCTATATTGTGAATATTTATTTGTCTTATAAACTTTTTTCCAATTTATATTTATGTTATGTTTTGTAGAATTGGTCATAATAATTGACCATTTCCATTCCTCATCAAAAGGTTGTGCATTGTAAATAGATTTTTATACACTTGTATGATACTTATATACATTTGTACATAATTTACATATCAAACACATATCATGTAGAATATTCCATCCATGTAATCTTTTGTTTTAATTCTTTGTAATAATTTGTGTTATAAATTATATTTTGATTTTGATGTATGAAAACATTGTATTAATTATCACTGGAAATAATTTGATTTGAGGATAATATGATAATTTCACGAACATGCCTTATAATATATGAATAATTCCATTGGGGATTCATTGCTTGGAAACATTTCAAAAATTGCAATTTTTTGGGGAGAAAATTGAGTATTCTTCTGGCACACGATGGGCATATGTTGCCCTAGTGGAGAAGCTGTTTATTAACTTGTCGGTGCCACCTGAGATTGACCATTTCACCCACTTCACCTTTTTGTAGGCATTTTCATTTTTTCTTTAGCAATAAAATGTGCCCCTTTTTAAAAAATTCCTACCTAAATATGAAATAGAATAGATTGCTGATTGTATGACAGTGTTTCAGAATTCAATTAGTGCATTCACAGACTATGTTTAAATAATTAAATGTTATTTCTGACCCCCATCCCTACAAAAATGTGTTATCTTAAATGCATTATGAATTTAAAGCTTTAGTTAAAAGTGGACAATCTTGACTTGGTTTTTAGTATGTATTTCAAAAGATTTCCATATTTGAAGACAAACAAATATATATATAGTACAATGGCTTAAGAGGTTTGAAGCCAATGAGATTTGAAAGGGAGACATTCATTATTAAAAAGACATTAAAATATTAAATAGGCTCCAGGTTTATTTATTCAGACAAAGGTTTATATTAACACAGGAAAATGCTTGTATAGACTGAATTCATTTTCAATAAATATTTTTTTAAACAAGTTTCTTTGTATCAAGATTTAAGGAATGATGCAGATGGTTTCAAGAAATTTTAATATAGGTTTTATATATTTCTTATAATTTATAGAAATAAGTATATTTTTCTACGCAGTTCATAATCTGTAGTACTTTTATTCGTGATTCATTATCATACATTATACAGAGGTGCAGGAGAAAATATTGAATAAGAATGCAGATTAATGTAGGATAAATTCATATTCATTATTTGAAATGTTTTAAAAGGAACTGACGTCAATCAACTTTTGTGTCTGCTAACTTGAAATGAATTGAAACACCTTATCACACATCATCTCTGAATATCAAAGTTTGCTGGACAAACATTGATAGTGTAATTATAGATAGGTTTCGAATGATGTAATTTTAGATTGAGTTATTTTCCTTTGCCACCATTTTGGAGGGATAAACTGTTGATTTTCTTATACGACTAACGAAATTGAAACATATGATACACACGTCTGATAAGAGATCCTTACTAGATCATAGTAATGAATTAAGCAAGAATAAAAGAAATAAAATTGTTAAGAAAAACCTTTTGTCTAAAGTCTTAGCCACCAATAGAATTCGGCTGATTTTTGAAGGAATTTGCACACTATGACCTCCAGCATGGCATTAAAAGGGAAGTAACTCTTGCTCAAATTGTGTCAATTGAAACCTTTCTATAATAATCTGCTGTAATTTCTTCTAGCTTTATAAAGATGACAGCAAGAGTTCGAATATACACTCATTCTTGATTCATTTGTTGAACATACAAATATTGTATTTAATGGTGGTAATCATGGAATTTGTATCAAGATATAATTTTATATGTTCTATTTCATAGCATTTCAACATTATTGTCATTATATTCCATGAAATAAATTTTAAAGTGTTTTATTTTTTGAAATAAATATGCAATATTTAATCCATACATCATTATTATTCATGTATCATGTATACAGAAAATTGTTATTTTTTGTACTGCTAACTAATGACCTAGTCATTGAAAAATAAAGAAAATCAGACTAAATAGTGTTTTTCTTATTTTATGGGTACAAAGTAATGAACCTTTTCATCTCAGTTTTAATTCACATCAAACCTAAAATGTTGATGCATCTTTCAAAGATGTTAGGAATAATCCTTGTATATATATATTTTATACTGTACATATATCACGTCTGTCCTCTGTCATTCAGCCTTATCAGCAGTACATGTATATATTGTGGTAAAATTTTCAAAAGTCCCAAGTTATACCGAAATCATTGGTACAATAGTACAAAAAACACAAGATAGAAACTAAAAACAGAGCAACACGAACTCCACCAAAACCTGGGGTGATCTCAGGTGCTCTGGAAGGTTAAGCAGATCCTGCTCCACATGTGGCATCTGTCGTGTTGCTCATGTTAGTACAAACCCAGTAATAAGTCTAATTCAGTAGGTCACATTCGGGGAAAAGAGGATGGGATTGTAGTTGGAACATATCTGCTATCATCTGAAACGGATATTCCATAACGGTCAACCAACTCGTGATGCTGTCCGTAAAATTTACAAAGGGATGATTTCAACTTCACCACTTGGAATTCTTGGTTTAATAGCTTCCTTGTGAGCAGCAACCCTCTATCAAGGAAATCAAGATAGGAAATACAAGCCCTGGAATATCGTATCAACTGGGAGATATTTACTCCGTATGCAGGTGCTGCTGGAATGTTGCTACAAAGAAATGGAAAGTTCACAATTGGGAAGCTGAAATCATCTCTTGTCGTAAAGTTTTGTTTTCAACCGACCCTCATTGTCAATTTCTAGATGTAAGTCAAGATATGAGGCAGACTTAACTGTATCTGTTGTATCCTTTATCTCAAGTTCGATGGGGTAGATGCGTTCAACATAGTCACTAAATTTTGAATTATTTAGTGAGAGAACTTCATCTATGTAGCGGAGAGTAAAGTTAAAGGATACTGCTAACTTCTTTTCTTTCTTCCTAAGAGGTTCCTGTATGAAGTCAGGTTCGTATGAATAAAGTAACAAGTCGGAAAAAAAGAGGGGCACAGTTGGTTCCCGTAGGAATGCCGATTGTTTGTTGAAATACACGTCCTCCAAACGTAACAATTGTGTTGTTAATCAAGAACATTTTGATAATGTCAGTTTCAGAGAATTTTTTTTTAATCAGTATGGAGCCTTATTTTAGGGGAACATAAGAATAGTATGTTATAAATCATTTTAGTATTACTCTTTTTTCTTCAACAGAAGTACAACTGACCCGTCAGATACAGCTGGTCAGATAGAATTTTTATTATGATGCTTATTACATTTAGTTATGTCTTTTGAAATGGGCGAAATCAGAAAAATTGATTGTTTCAAAGATAACTTCAGTTCATATTTAATAAATGCCTTGATATTTTTGAAAATAATTGCGAGGAGGTTTTACTGTTTGCAGTGAAGAAGTTGTGCTCTTGGGATATTTGAAATTTCCTAATGAAGCAAGTTTGCTTTAATAGAAAAAATACATCGATAAGTAGAAAAATATATCTAAAAGTTTCTTTTCCAAAAGAACATTTATGCCATATATGTAGAACATACAGAAATCGAGGAGGCAACTATATTTGTACAAACAGAAGCCAAAACATCAAGCTGGAGTGCTGAGGGTCAGCTAGTCTATCAAATGGAAATTCGTAGAAGTATGAATGGGGATAAATGAAAAGCTAAAATAAAACATTACAACTCCCTTGGGCAAAGTTGACTTTCGAATGATTACGCTCCAGGCGTAATGATTTTTTTTACCAATGTCTCTCGGCTGAAATATTCTCCATGTGCATCTTTATTGTCTTCTGCTAAGAATGAGATTACACAAAACATGTCACAAGCTAACCCCGCCACATTTTTGCGCCTGTCCCAAGTCAGGAGCCTCTGGCCTTTGTTAGTCTTGTATGTTTTTTTTTAATTTCAGTTCATTTATATGTTTTGAAGTTTAGTGTGACGTCCATTTTCACTAAACTAGTACATAATTTTATTTAGGGGCCGGCTGAGGACCACCTTCGGGTGCGGGAATTTCTCGCTGCGTTGAAGACCCATTGGTGGCCTTCGGTTGTTGTTTGCTCTTTTGTCGGGTTGTTATCTCTTTGACATATTCCCCATTTCCATTCTCAATTTTAGATTTAGATGGTTCCGATCTCTTGAATATTTCTGAAATGTCGATGAAATCGTCAATTGCTTCAAGTTTGCAACATGTCTCCTCTGATCTTTCACAATTCATATGTGAGAGTAACGCTGTTGATGTTTATTTTCCCCAGTTCTGTTGTCTCCTTTAGGATTATAATTTCTCTGTGTTATTCATACAGCGGACACTTTAACGAAATAGTGTACTGTTTCGGTCCTTTTACATCAAACAGCTCTGTTAACTCTTGAAGCCTTTATCTTTAATGTCCTAATTTCCTTTTAGTTCATAAGACAAGTAAACATATGTTGGTCTCAAATGGCCATTTTGATCTTAACAACATATGAAAAAGTTGGAACACAAAAACGTCCGGTCTTGTCAAGAGTTTAAATTAATTTTCAGACATTGCACTTGCAGTCAATCCATTACTGTTCAGACAATTCAGTATGTTGCTTTTTTTTTACCTGTACAAAACTTAATTGACTGCAAGCGAAAAGTCTGAACAGCAGTGAATTAACCGCAGTGAATAATTCTAACAATTGAGTGAAAGACTGGACATACTAAATGATTTATTGTTCAGTCTTTAAATGAGTTGTTCAGGTCCAAATGACAGTTTCAGTCCAAAATTAGTTTACTAGTGTAAGTCTTTATTAAGGGAATGATCAAAGAATATGTCCCGCTTTACTGTTGATAAATTTTCTTAAAGTGTTCTTCTTGTTTGCTGATTTCCCATCGTCTTTATCACATTTGTGTTTTACCTTAGGCGGCCTCGTTTTTCACGTCTACACATTGGTATTTTCTGGTGGTAAGATTCTAGCTTCTTCTGCTAATATTTATATCAGAATGGCTGCCTCGTCATTTCCTTGAATGTCTTAGTACCCTGGTGTCAAAAGTATTGAGATATTAAAGACTTTTACTTTGAGATTTTTAATATGATTCTTAACGTCTAGAACTACACCAACCTAGTACTTATGTTTTACGGTCAAGGTCGACGTGAGGAACCCAACAGAGCTCTGAATATCTAATAAGATTCAAATTATTTGATATCATTGTGAAATTGGTGTACTTTGTAGGACTCCAGCACCATCAACCATATAAGGGTTGACTGTGAAGAGTATATGTCCGTTTGACATAATGTCATATCACCATGGCCTCATTTTCATGTTTTAGTGGTCATTTCGAGTTTCCAGGATTAGGTATTTTCTGAGTATTCATGCATGATAGATGAACAATTTAATTTGGTATATGGTTGTCTGCGTGTAGGATTGTATGTCCAACGTTTTATAAAGCGTTGACTTAATTTTCAAGCTCCAGTAAGACATTAGAATGACAACAGAATCACCAGAAATACTTTTCAGTAGAACAGACCACACCAGCTACCAGTCTTGAGACTGGACCCCTCCGAAAAAAACCAGACATACAAACAAATAAAAATGCATGCATGGTCCATATCGAGATAGTCTGACGGTAGTCAGGTTGTTCCAGGAATATATCTGTTCTTCTGTAACTTTAAATGATATGTTAACCATATGTGGGTTTGTCGTAAAGGAGCTTATATATATATGTCTTAATACTCATGCATGTATGACATATAGCACATCCCTCGAATTATACATAATAGGTTGAAAATGTTTTGTATTGAAATCATTACACTTTCATAAACATGTTTACATGACAGGTTTTATTTGAGCTAGACCTTAGTTGATCTTAGTTGGAGAGTTCGTTGTCCTGCAAATATTTTAAATGTTAAAGCAGTTGATAAATCTGAGCTTTTAAAAAAACTATGACAAACTTGTTCCGTAATAACCTTTTCACCAGAAACGTCTCTGTTTGGAAAGCCTAAAATGTAATCACGAGTTAACTAATTTTGATCTTAAACGATTTTTTACCTGAACACTGCATTATTTGATCATATTCAGTCTTTCAGTGAAGTATCGGTAAGTCTATGCAATGGTATATACTATGAAATTTAGTGCGAGGGGGTGTGCCCCGAGCTCTTAATTTCATAGTATATACCTTTTCATAGACTATCCAATTTCGCACATATTTACAACTCAAGTAATCTTTTAATTGGTCTATTCATAGTTTATTTTGGCTGACTACTTGTATCACAGGTGTTTGTAAAACGGAGTTCATTAACGAAGTTTTATGTTTTGTAAATCTACTCAGCAGTATCATAGTAAAATATGTGATTTCAAAATGCCCTCGACTCCAGAATGAAAAGTCTGTAGCTGCTGGTGTAAGTATGTATATTGATATAAAGCGCTGTTTTACTACATGTATAATCAAAGTACTGAACATCGGATGACCGCAAGTTCTGGTGGATGGTTAGAAGCACTTGTCTCAGAAAAAAAATCACATCTCTATACCTGAAAGTTAGGTTAAAGAACATAGATATATTTTTTTCTGAGACAAGTTCCTTTGTGAATGGTGAATAAATGGCAAGGGATTCAAGCTCGCCGTTATAACTATTATATTGTAGTGATATAATCATTTGTTATCAGTAAACTCTGGTTTGTTGTTATATATTATATTAATATTTGTATAACAGTTATATATAATTTTCAGCTATTTGTATATCATTCTATTCTACTATTCTAATGATAGTGCAGTGCAAGTGCATGGTGGATACTCTTCTGTAATAATTTGTTATTGATATATATATATATATATATTTCTCACGACAAAACATTTTCATACATTTATCTATGTTTTTAAAAATTATTTTCATGAATATTTATTGATGAAATTAATATATAACAAGCGATAAGGACAGTTATTTTGCACTCGATAATATCCGTGTAATTATACGAAATACGTTCGGTTATCAGTCAAACGGCAAGGGAATTTCTGCGGCAACATGACACCGGTGTGACCTT